GCCCCACTTCCACCGCCCTCTAATCAAGACAAAATTGGTTTTCAAAACGAAGGAGCTGGCCTACAGTGAAACGTGCAGAGAGGGGTGGGTGGGGTGGGAGGAGCTGGGAGCTAAGGTGAGGAGGGTTAAGCGAGGGGGTGGTGGTATTGACGGACATGCAAACGGACAATATTCGAAACAAAATGGCGCCTGTAAAATTTAAAGTCTTCATAACTCTAGAGAAAGTGGCACGAGGGGGAGGGGGGGGGGGGAGGGAGGGCTGTAGGGGGTGGGGGGTTAAAACATGGCTGGGTGGGGACCGAGGGTGAAAGATTAATCAAGAATATTTTTTATATGGAGGTCACAGTGCATGTCTTAGAGGCAAGAGGTGGGGCGGGGAGGTGGAGGAGGGGGTGGGGGGGGGGGGAGGAATGAACAAGCGAAGCTTCAAGAGGTGGGTGCCGGGGGGTGGTTTAACGGAATGAGAGAAAAAGCGATGCATGCTTACGACAGCGGTTCGATGCACTCCAAATGGACGCAGCGGGTGGGGTGGGGGGGGGGGGGGGTTGCAGGGGAGGGATGGGCGGAAGGGTCGGCAGAGGTCAAGTTATCTTACTCAGAAAACACGTTATTTTTCCCTCTCTTTATCCACAGATGGAGAGAAGGTTAAAGGAGGGAGGGGAGGGGGAGTGAACGGCTAAGAGGGTTGTACGGGAGATGAGAGGTCAAGGACAGGGGAGGAGAACTACGGGGGAAAAAACGTGCAGAAGAAATGAGGACGGATGAATCTGATTGGTTGGCAGGCTTGCATCACGGGCTAAATATAGATAGAGGCCATGTAACATGCGTGCATATTGACATGCAAATACCTTGCATGTGGGTCAGTTTTTACGTATGGCCTCAGGATCATGTTACGGTCAGGTTCGCTCAAACGGTCAGTTATTTTCTACAATCAACTGGCTAGAATTGAAGCTGGTGTTATGTTGTATAAGTGATGGTGTGGGTCTCGGGTCTAAATGACACCAGCACATGCGATGGTGTAGGATCTAAAAACATGCAGAGGGTGGGCAGTGGGTTAATCACAAGGGTTGGGTCGTTAATGCTATAGGGCCCGGGGGGAGGGGCAGGGTAATGTGGAGGGGGGAAGTGATGGTTAGAGCTAGTTGCTGGTCTTAATAATTGTAGCCTAGGATAGGGGAGTAGAAGGGTTAGGGTTTAGATGTGGGTTGTAATGGGGTTCTGGTTAGGGTTCGTAGAAGGGTTTAGGGTTTTAGATGTGGGTTGTAATGGGGTTCTGGTTAGGATTAGTAGAAGGGTTTAGGGTTTTAGATGTGGGTTGTAATGGGGTTCTGGTTAGGGTTCGTAGAAGGGTTTAGGGTTTTAGATGTGGGTTGTAATGAGGTGCGAGGTATTGGTTAGGGTTAGATGCTGAAGCTAGTTACAGTTCGATGGTTGGTTCCAGCTGGACCACTCACTTCCTTGTTTTGTGTGGGTCGTGTGGGTGAAGTGGTATGGTGTGGGTGGTGTGGGTGGAGTTGTTAGTGTGGGTGGAGTGGTTGGTGTGGGTGGTGTGGGTGGAGTGGTGTGGGTGGAGTGGTTGGTGTGGGTGGTGTGGGTGGAGTTGTTAGTGTGGGTGGAGTGGTTGGTGTGGGTGGTGTGGGTGGAGTGGTTGGTGTGGGTGGGTGGTGTGGGTGGAGTAATGTGGGTGGAGTGGTTGGTGTGGGTGGAGTTGTTAGTGTGGGTGGGTGGTGTGGGTGGAGTGGTGTGGATGGAGTGGTGTGGGTGGAGTGGTTGGTGTGGGTGGAGTTGTTAGTGTGGGTGGAGTGGTGTGGGTGGAGTGGTTGGTGTGGGTGGAGTGGTGTGGGTGGAGTGGTTGGTGTGGGTGGAGTGGTGTGGGTGGAGTGGTGTGGGTGGAGTGGTTGGTGTGGGTGGAGTGGTTGGTGTGGGTGGAGTGGTGTGGGTGGAGTGGTTGGTGTGGGTGGAGTGGTGTGGGTGGAGTGGTTGGTGTGGGTGGAGTGGTGTGGGTGGAGTGGTGTGGGTGGAGTGGTTGGTGTGGGTGGAGTGGTTGGTGTGGGTGGAGTTGTGTGGGTGGAGTGGTGTGGGTGGAGTGGTTGGTGTGGGTGGAGTGGTTGGTGTGGGTGGAGTGGTTGGTGTGGGTGGAGTGGTGTGGGTGGAGTGGTTGGTGTGGGTGGAGTGGTGTGGGTGGAGTGGTTGGTGTGGGTGGAGTTGTTAGTGTGGGTGGAGTGGTTGGTGTGGGTGGAGTTGTTAGTGTGGGTGGAGTGGTTGGTGTGGGTGGAGTGGTGTGGGTGGAGTGGTGTGGGTGGAGTGGTGTGGGTGGAGTGGAGTGGTTGGAGTGTTGTGGGTGGAGTGGTGTGGGTGGAGTGGTGTGGGTGGAGTGGTTGGTGTGGGTGGAGTTGTTAGTGTGGGTGGAGTGGTTGGTGTGGTTGGAGTGGTGTGGGTGGAGTGGTTGGTGTGGGTGGAGTGGTGTGGGTGGAGTGGTTGATGTGGGTGGAGTGGTTGGTGTGGGTGGAGTGGTGTGGGTGGAGTGGTGTGGGTGGAGTGGTTGGTGTGGGTGGAGTGGTGTGGGTGGAGTGGGTGGTGTGGGTGGAGTGGTGTGGGTGGAGTGGGTGGAGTGGTTGGTGTGGGTGGAGTGGTGTGGGTGGAGTGGTGTGGGTGGAGTGGTGTGGGTGGAGTGGTGTGGAGTAGTGTGGGTGGAGTGGTGTGGGTGGAGTGGTGTGGGTGGAGTGGTGTGGGTGGAGTGGTTGGTGTGGGTGGAGTGGTGTGGGTGGAGTGGTGTGGGTGGAGTGGTGTGGGTGGAGTGGAGTGGTTGGTGTGGGTGGAGTTGTTAGTGTGGGTGGAGTGGTTGGTGTGGGTGGAGTGGTGTGGGTGGAGTGGTTGGTGTGGGTGGAGTGGTGTGGGTGGAGTGGTTGGTGTGGGTGGAGTGGTGTGGGTGGTGTGGGTGGTGTGGGTGGAGTTGTTAGTGTGGGTGGAGTGGTTGGTGTGGGTGGAGTGGTGTGGGTGGAGTGGTTAGTGTGGGTGGAGTGGTGTGGGTGGAGTGGTTGGTGTGGGTGGAGTTGTTAGTGTGGGTGGAGTGGTGTGGGTGGAGTGGTGTGGGTGGAGTGGTGTGGGTGGAGTGGTGTGGGTGGAGTGGTGTGGGTGGAGTGGTGTGGGTGGAGTAGGTGGTGTGGGTGGAGTGGGTGGTGTGGGTGGAGTGGGTGGTGTGGGTGGAGTGGTGTGGGTGGAGTGGTGTGGGTGGAGTGGGTGGTGTGGGTGGAGTGGGTGGTGTGGGTGGAGTGGGTGGTGTGGGTGGAGTGGTGTGGGTGGAGTGGTGTGGGTGGAGTGGGTGGTGTGGTGTGGGTGGTGTGGAGTAGTGTGGGTGGAGTGGTTGGTGTGGGTGGAGTGGTTGGTGTGGGTGGAGTGGGTGGTGTGGTGTGGGTGGTGTGGTGTGGGTGGTGTGGGTGGAGTGGTGTGGGTGGAGTGGTTGGTGTGGGTGGAGTGGTTGGTGTGGGTGGAGTGGTTGGTGTGGGTGGAGTGGTTGGTGTGGGTGGAGTGGGTGGTGTGGTGTGGGTGGTGTGGTTGGTGTGGGTGGAGTGGGTGGTGTGGTGTGGGTGGTGTGGTTGGTGTGGGTGGTGTGAGTGGAGTGGGTGGAGTGGTTGCTGTGGGTGGAGTGGTTGGTTGGTTAGTGTGGTTGGAGTGGATGGTGTGGTTAGTGTGGTTTAGCTCCAGGCTTATCAGATATTAGGCTAAATTGTCAACTTTCACAGCGTTAGGCTAAACGGTCAATGTACGTGTTAAGGTAGCCATTACGGTGTTCCGATAGGCTAGCCATTCTGGTTTAGTGTAGCCAATATGGTTTCAGGTTCGGATAGCCTATTCGATGTGCTAGCGCTCCACAGAGGACGACGCGGTACTTCATTAAAGACACAAATCTTCAACATTGGATCTATAGAGGCCAATTCAGCAGTAAAAAAAATCAATCATGCAAAGTTAATTACCATCCATACCTTAATTACCATCCATACTTTAATTAACATCCATATTTTAATCAACATCCATATTTTTTTTAACTCACCAAAAATATGCCATGTCATATTTCTAATTTCCCAATTGGCCTTAAAGAAATGGCCATCATTTATTTTCGGACATATATCTAGTCGCACAGTTCCATTACAGGTTGTTTTTTGTTTGTTTCGTTATTCACCGAGCAGGGCCAGCTAATGTAAAACATGCATGCGGCGTTGTTTCAGTTTTTTAACGGATGAATCATTTCATTAACGGGAGCCATGCCTGCACTGGAAAACGAAAAGTTGGCCCGGAGAAAAAAAAACGGCACTCTCCACCGTCGTAGGCCAGCGAATCAATGACTGCCTTTTCCATTAAGTACTTTAGAGGTACTTGTCGAATTTTCATTGCGGGCAGGATTATAGTGATGGAAAACCTTGCCTGTTATTAACGAAAGTTACGGGCCTTTAAAATTAAAGGTTTTTTTTTTTAAATTTATTTTATTTTTTCCCCCCTCAAATTAGAACCTCGATTCATCTATAATTCAACTTTACGACTAGTATTTTGACTATTTGAACTTGTAGCGTGTAATCCCATGAATCGTAGTTTCAATGCAAAGAACTTAATAATAAAATCCTTCAAATGTCACTGGCGACTAAATAATTAATTCCTGTGTTGATGTAGTCGAGGGTACCTGCTGTGAGGGTGTGGTGGGCTGAGCCAGGGGACAGAACCGAGAAAATGAAAAACTTGGACGAGTTAATTTAACATCTGGTGGGGAGATTACAGCGTGGAATACCAATCATCCTCAGTTAAATTTTTTTACAGGGTGTGTGTGTGTGTGTGGGGGGGGGTGTGTTTTGTTGCTAATAGAAGTGGAAGGGGGAGGGGGGCACAACTTGTGCCATAAGACAAAGAAGATGGGGAGGGTAACGAGAGGGTTACAGGCACAGAGGTGGCATAATTAAATATTACAATCAGACAAGTTAGCCAAAGTATCAGTTGAATTTAAAGCTTACAACAGCCAACATTATTCTCTCACAAGATACTAGCACCACTGGGTCAAATACCCTTAGTTTAGAAAGGTTCTCAAAAATAAAACCAGGTTCTCCTAACATTTGAGTCAACACTAGAGAACAGAGTGAGATCTACAGAACCAAGGGAAACAGTTTACAGAAACTGTGTTACACAACAATAGTGCAGGGGGGGGGCAGTGTAAGATGGGCAGGGTGTGGTATGGTTTGGTATACAAATCAATTTAAGATACGGAGTTGAATCAGTCAACAAAAAGGCAAGGAATGGTGAGGAACAAAATCCAAGTTAAACTTCACTGATCATCAAGGCAAAAAACATTTTTGGGTAGATGAACAACATCTGATCTAGTACAGAGGTTTGGGACCTCTATCTCCACTGTTGGGTGTAGCTCTTTGAGGATATTAGTGTGGCTGTTTGTGTTAGGCATAAAGAAGATTTGGATAGGATATTATGTGTGAACATGTTTTACTATAACCCTAGTAAGGTTTCAGTTGTAAAGAATTAGACATAATTTGTGCTCTCAAAGTATTTTAAGCACCAATTGATGATCTGCAACATAAACAGATGGTGCCACCTGAATTAGAGAATAAGAAAATTCCCAGAGAAGTTTCTAGAAGTCAGGTGTGTAGTTCTTACCTGTGTGAGATTCTGTGGCCGCAGTATCAGGCTCCCGTACTCTTTCATCAGACGCAGGGCCTCGCTGCTTCTGGTGGGGGATAATGGCACAATTTTTTATTTTAGGATAATAGGGATAGGATAAACTGAAGGATAAAAACTTAGTAGAACCCACTTTAGAATAATTATAGGATAGGAAATACTAACAGAAAATTTTATTAATAATAAGATGCTAGATGTTTTAGGATAATAACATGGTAGGCACTACTTTAGGGGAAAAAAAGTGAAAGAAATGTCTTTACTATATAAAGCACAAAAAAACTTGCTGACCTAACATTTAAAAAAATTACTGGCTAACCTAATAATTAAAAAAACTATTTTTAGGAAACAATAAACTTCCTGGCTAAGCTAGCAAATAAAAAACTTACTGGCTAAGCTAAAAACTAAAAAAAAAACTTACTGGCTAAGCAAACAATTAAAAAACTAACTAGCTAACCTAAAAATTAAGAAACTTACTGACTAACATAACAATTAAAAAACTTACAGGTTAAGCAAACAATTTAAAAAACTTACTGGCTAACCTATACATTTAAAAATCTTACCGACTAAGCTAACAATTAAAAAACTTACTGGACTGGTTGAGCCAACAATTGAAAAACCTTACTGGCTAAGCTATATATTTAAAAAACTTACTGGCTAAGCTAAAAGTTAAAAAACTTACTGGCTAATCTAACAATTGAAAAAACTTACTGGCTAACCTATATATTTAAAAAAAACTTACTGGCTAACCTATATACTTAAAAAAACTTACTGGCTAAGCTAATAATTTAAAAACTTACTGGCTAACCTAAATATTTAAAAAACTTACTGGCTAACCAAACAAAAAACTTACTGGCTAAGCTAATAATTTAAAAACTTACTGGCTAACCTAAATATTTAAAAAACTTACTGGCTAACCAAACAAAAAACTTACTGGCTAAGCTAATAATTTAAAAACTTACTGGCTAAGCTAATAATTAAAAAACTTACTGGCTAACCTAACAATTAAAAAACTTACTAGCTAAGCTAACAGTTAAAACACTTACTGGCTAAGCTAAAAATTTAAAAAACTTACTGGCTAACCAAACAATTAAAAACTTACTGGCTAACCTTAAAATTTAAAAACTTACTGGCTAACCTAAATAGTTAAAAAACTTACTGGCTAACCAAACAAACAAAAAACTTACTGGCTAACCAAACAAACAAAAAACTTACTGGCTAAGCTAACAATTAAAAAACTTACTGGCTAAGCTAACAATTAAAAAACTTACTGGCTAAGCTAAATATTTAAAAAACTTACTGGCTAAGCTAACAATTAAAAAACTTACTGGCTAAGCTAACAATTAAAAAACTTACTGGCTAAGCTAACAATTAAAAAACTTACTGGCTAAGCTAAATATTTAAAAAACTTACTGGCTAAGCTAACAAACAAAAAACTTACTGGCTAAGCTAAATATTTAAAAAACTTACTGGCTAAGCTAACAAACAAAAAACTTACTGGCTAAGCTAAATATTTAAAAAACTTACTGGCTAAGCTAACAAACAAAAAACTTACTGGCTAAGCAAACAAACAAAAAACTTACTAACTAACCTAACAATTAAAAAACTTACTGGCTAAACAAACAATTAAAAAACTTACTAACTAACCTAACAATTAAAAAACTTACTGGCTAAGCTAAAAATTAAAAAACTTACTGGCTAAGCTAAAAATTAAAAAACTTACTGGCTAAGCAAACAAACAAAAAACTTACTGGCTAAGCAAACAAACAAAAAACTTACTGGCCAAGCTATATATTTAAAAAACTTACTGGCTAACCAATATAATTAAAAAACTTACTAACTAACCTAACAATAAAAAACTTACTGGCTAAGCAAACAATTAAAAAACTTACTGGCTAACCTATATATTTAAAAAACTTACTAACTAACCTAACAATTAAAAAACTTACTGGCCAAGCAAGGTATCAAAGGCTAACACTGCATTATCTCTCTGCAGCGCTACAACAAGACAGGGGCCGCTACTCAGGAAATTCACCTGAAAGAAATGTCAAATACAGGAGTTATGCGCCTTAACCCAAAAATAAATTTAAAGACTTGTCAAAAAATGTCCTTAACTAAATTCCTAAAGTAACCAACCTAGTGCAGTGGCCAGGTTTAAGTCCCTGAATCTTCTGTATAGATGGGTTAATAAAACACACACAAATATGGCCGGCAAAAAATATAAACAATAATGAAACTTCTTCATTCTTAGTTGTAATGTTGGGCGTATTTCCTCCAACATAATTAAGAATTATGTATCAACCTGTTATGCATCTAACAGGTCATTGACTCTGATTTCAGCCTGCTTTTCTTTTTGAAGTTGGTTCCATAGCCTTAGCCCAAATAATAATCATTAAAAAAGTTTAAAAAAACCCACGTTTTCTGATTGAACTAAAAAGTAGAAAATAAATGCTATACTTCACAATAATGCAAGCGATCACTCTACTATAAGCGATGAAAGCAAGTTAAAGAAAACGTGGGAAAAAGAATAAACTATAAACAGCAGATATTTGATTTCTGAGTTGTCTCTCCTAGATGGGTTACTGTCCCCAACCATTGAGCCTCATCTGCCTGAGGGTTCGAAGTCTGGACTTTTCAGTTTAGCAAAAACATGAAACATAATAATTAAACAACTATAAGACCTTTATTTAAAGTCCATCTTCGAGAGACATTCAGTTAAAGTAATATTCATTTGACAAGTTTTAAAGGGCTAAGCTGACTTGTCGATAGTTGGCAAAAAACTGACCAACTGAAATTTGACAAAAACTGACCAGTTGAAAGCTGACAAAAACTGACCTGTTGAAAGCTGACCAAAACTGACCAACTGATAGCTGACAAAAACTGACCAACTGAAAGCTGACAAAAACTGACCAGTTGAAAGCTGACAAAAACTGACCTGTTGAAAGCTGACCAAAACTGACCAACTGATAGCTGACAAAAACTGACCAACTGAAAGCTGACAAAAACTGACCAGTTGAAAGCTGACAAAAACTGACCTGTTGAAAGCTGACCAAAACTTACCAACTGATAGCTGACAAAAACTAACCAACTGAAAGCTGACAAAAACTGACCTGTTGAAAGCTGACAAAAACTGACCAACTGATAGCTGACAAAAACTGACCAACTGAAATTTGACAAAAACTGACCAGTTGAAAGCTGACAAAAACTGACCTGTTGAAAGTTGACAAAAACTGACCAGTTGAAAGCTGACAAAAACTGACCTAATGAAGTTGACAAAAACTGACTGTTGAAAGCTGACAAAAACTGACCTGTTGAAAGCTGACAAAAACTGACCTGTTGAAAGCTGACAAAAAATGACCAACTGAAAGCTTACAAAAACTGACCTGTTGAAAACTGCCCCCTCCCCTGACACAGAGGAAACACTCGGCCTGTTTCTGTGTCAGCCACACCAGCCTCGCTGCCACCAGGTGGAACCTGCAACACAAGAGGTCATAGGTCAACACAAGAGGTCGTAGGTCAACACAAGAGGTCGTAGGTCAACACAAGAGGTCGTAGGTCAACATAAGATGTCGTAGGTTGATGAAGACTGCTAGCAGCTCAGTGCCAGCAGGATTAGAACCTGGTACCTAAGTTGGTGTATAAAGACACCTTTGTAGTGAACGAGTGAAGGGGGATGAAAGGGGGTGAATGTTGTTTGCACTTGGTACCCTATCCCGTTCGTCCTTGTTCAGTTCTTGTGCTGTCAGTTGTACCAGTTTATGAAACAGTATATAAGGTGTATGAAAAGGTGTGTGATTGCCTCAGTTTCGTCCAGATCTCCAAGGCTAGAAAAGGTTAGGTCTATACTAGATTTTAGTCACTGTATTGTAGCTTTACTAGCTTGTATATTTTGTGTTTAGAATAGACTGTGTTAGGTGTAGATTGGGGTAGATACTATTAAATTCTTTTAGTTTCAACGGGCCTTTGTTTTCATTCAGTCTTGTTTTGTAATCTGTTTGTGGTTGTTTGTCATAAGTGTTGCGCTAGGCATAGGAAATTCCAAAAGGCGTGTCCGTGTGTTCACAACAACCTTACCCCAGGTTGATGAAGACTGCCAGCAGCTCGGTGCCAGCCAGTTCCTTGCTGCGAGAGCTGGACTTGACCAGGGGAGGGGTCAGCACCAGACAGTTGGTCTGTAACAACAGGTGGTGAACCTCTGCAACACAATGGTGAGACAAGTGGTGAGACAAATGGTGAGACAAGTGGTGAGACAAGTGGAGAGACAAGTGGAGAGACAAGAGGTGAGACAAATGGTGAGACAAGTGGTGAGACAAGTGGTGAGAAAAATGGTGAGACAAGTGGTGAGACAAATGGTGAGACAAGTGGTGAGCTGAAATAGACAATGTGCTCATTTCAGTCAACTGCAATTTATATTTAGCTTATATTTATAGTAATACATATGTTTAGGATATTGGAATGGAAGTTTGACTCATATTACATAATGCTATATTTTGACGGTCGTATCAAGTGTCTGCATAGCTGACTGGAGTGTACAGCAGTTATCAATAAGGCTTCAGGTACTGATTTGAGAATAGCTAAGGTGTTTTTTGGTGTTTATTGTGTCAATGGCATTAACAACATAGTTTTAAAGCATTACCTACACATTACACAACCTACAGAAAATATAACCTTGACCTACATAACACATAACCTTGACCTACATAACATAACCTTGAACCACAAAACATATAAACTTGACCAACAGAACATATAACCTTGACCAACAGAACATATAGCATTGACCTACAGAACATATACCATTGACCTCCAGGACATATAACCTTGACATATAGAACATATAACCTTGGCCTACATAACATATAACCTTGACCTACATAATATATAAGTCAGCATTACCTACACATCTGACCTCCAGAACATATAACCTTGACCTCCAGAACATATAACCTTGACCTACATAACATATAACCTTGACCTACATAACATATAGCCATGACCCATATCATATATACGTCAGCATGACCTACACACCACGTCACCGTATCTGACACCCACCCTATGACCCTGACCTACCTTCTATCGTCACATCATGTGACACGCCAGCATGATGCTCCTGTGCCAACACCACATGACGTGACAAATTAGAGCTAGTGTCTATCACACTGTCACATGCAGGGGATGTAATCTGTCAAACATTTCACATTCAAACAGTAAATAGACAACTCAAGTCATTTATATTCTGTTTTAAGTAATAATATTTTTATAATAAATTAATATAATAAATATAATAAAACAGTAACAATTTTCAAGACATTTGTAACTAAAATACATATAATAAATTACCGTTAAATATTGATTAAGGGGAGATAATTAAAGAAATTTTTAAAAAAAACTGACTCTCTCATTGGCCAAGAGCTGAGAATAATGGCAACACAGCCCATCAGGAAACAGGAGGTTTAGGTCACGGATAGCATCCACATAAAACCCAGAACCTGTATGGATGATTTAATTCAAGATTTTAATTTTACTACACGGATAGCATCCATATAAAACCTGTATGGATGATTCAATTCAAGATTTTCATGTACCCTACTTTGATAAAAATCACATTTTAATTAAATAATGAGGTTATAAACAAATATATAAACTGACTGGCATTTTTTAACATCTGAACAATGAAGTTAAAGGTCATACCAAGAACTTGATTAAAACGAAAATGTAAGGGAAGTAATCAATATAAAGCAAAAAACATGTCTTAATTTTAGGTTACCTCCCCTTATTAAAAACCCAACTTTTTTTGCAATCTTCATGTCTGTTTGCCTTAACCTTTGGAAGTCTAATTGTTCTATTAGCACTATTAAATTAATACAATTTAAATTGTAAATTAATGAAAACAAAATCATAGAGATACAACTCACAATAAATGCCATTGTTGAACAGGTCGCTACCAAACTCTCCCCGCCACAAGAACTGACTCTGGCGTCGTGCGGCCATGGGTTCCTCAGGGCCGACCAGGTCACACAGGTGTTTGATGGCGTTGGGGGACTGGAGGGCCAGGACAAGGGCGGGGCCGCAGCACATGGCTTCAAGACACTTGTGTCTGGATGTGGTGTCCTGTGGGGGGACAGGGACATGAGCTTAGGGGACATGAAGTCAAATGTGGTGTCCTGTGGGGGGGGGGGGGGGACATGGAGTCAGAGGACATGGGATCAGGAAAAATGGAATTATGAGATTAGGGGATGTGGGATTAGGGGATGTGGGATGAGGGATTAGGGGATGTGGGAATAGGGGATGTGGGATTAGGGGATGTGGGATGAGGGGATGTGGGATGAGGGGATGTGGGATTAGGGGATGTGGGATTAGGGGATGTGGGATTAGGGGATGTGGGATGAAGGGATGTGGGATTAGGGGATGTGGGATTAGGGGATGTGGAATTAGGGGATGTGGAATTAGGGGATGTGGGATTAGGGGATGTGGGATTAGGGGATGTGGAATTAGGGGATGTGGGATTAGGGGATGTGGGATTAGGGGATGTGGGATTAGGGGATTTGGGATTAGGGGATGTGGGATTAGGGGATGTGGGATTAGGGGATATGGGATTAAATAGTGTGAGATTATAGGGACATGGGATTAGGAAATGGGATATGGGGACATGGGAGTTAGGGGGGATGTGGGATTAATTAGTGTAAGTGGGATTATAGGGATATGGGATAAGAGGACATGGGATTAGGGGATATAGGTTTGGGAGCATTTAACAAAAGAATCCATTTTAGGCAGTAATAAAGCAGATTTGTTGAACAAAATACATCATTATGGTCTTTTATTGTGTTAGTTGACCAACCTTCCTTATGGAAGATGTTGTATGTTGTATGTGAGATGACCAACCTTCCTTAAAGCAGATGTTGTATGTTGTATGACCAACCTTCCTTAAACTAGATGTTGTATGTTGTATGTGAGATGACCAACCTTCCTTAAAGTAGCTGGCACAAAAGCCTCAGCTGTGTCAGTACCCAGCATCACCAGCCTTAGGCCTACAATCTCAAACTTCTCCTGAACAATTTTCTTCAGGATCCTGGGCAGATATTTCTGTACGGCAGCTGGCTTGACCACCATGGCTGTTGTGATTGGCTGTTGCCCAGCAACCATTTCCTCCATCAGCGCCTCCTGGGTCAGGTTGAGTTCATCCAGCGGCTTCAGAGAAAATCTTCGTCTGATCTCACTGGGGGGGGGGGGGGGGGGGGTGGTGGTCATTAGAACAAAGGTGTGGGTTAAATTAGTTAATTAGTGTTTGATTACATGCATTCTTCTCTGTGCTCTTAGCTCCTCTCTTGTGTATTGTGAAATAAAGCTACCCTTTCAAACCTGGTGGTACATGGGGGTTTTGGAACCTTAGCATATGAAGGGATAGTGTGATCAGCACTATGCCCAGCAGCAGTTACTTTCCTTAATATGAGATTGGCACCCATTAGAGCTGGGTGGACTCAGGGACTCTTACTTAACCATGGGGTCCCAACTCAAAACTTTCCAGTTAGCAACCATGAGCTCTACAGTACGACTGTCCTGCCTCATTGACTTGTGTTTAAATCGGTCCATCAGTTAGTGTGACACTAACTCACCTCTACCTACCCACTTGTCTGACTCCTCTACCTACCCACTTTTCTGACTCCTTTAATTACCCACTTGTCTGACTTCTGTACATACTCACTTTTCTGACTCCTCTTCCCTCAGATTGAAATACATCTTAGACTCGGGTAAGAAAGGCAGCAGTGACCTTGACTGTGGGTCAGGGTAAAGGTCAGATGGAAAGAAAAACAGGCGTGCAAACATCTCCGTCTCATTCATATTGTGCGACATGATGCATTGGAGCGGCTGCTCCTTCTGTAACAAAAGGGTACTTGGTGTTAAAGTATTCACACAACTTTTCTGCTTCAATGCTATCTACACAACTTTTCTGCTTAAATGCTATCCACACAACTTTTCTGCTTAAATGCTATCAAAACAACTTTTCTGCTTCAACACTATCCACACAACTTTTCTGCTTCAACACTATCCACACAACTTTTCTGCTTCAACGCTATCTACACAACTTTTCTGCTTCAACACTATCCACACACATGTCTCACTGTGCACTATCCACACAATTGTCTCACTGCACACTATCCACACAACTATCTCACATTTCAACATTTTCCACACAACTTTTTCATTGTAGTCACCACTTAAGGACAACAACTGTTGCAATTTACTACTTCCACAATATCACAACACTAACAGCACTAGATAACATTAAACACACTGTCCTATGCGAGGCCCTATCCTATCAATGACAAATACGAAACCTTACTTTTTTGGGGTGAATGTTAGCCTGTGAAGATTTGGACGAGCTACTCATTTAGAGCCTTACATTTTTGGAGTGAATGATTGAAGATTTGGACGAGCTACTCATTTAGAGCCTTACATTTTTGGAGTGAATGATTGAAGATTTGGACAAGCTACTCATTTAAAACCTTACATTTTTGGAGTGAATGATTGAAGATTTGGACGAGCTACTCATTTAGAGCCTTACATTTTTGGAGTGAATGATTGAAGATTTGGACAAGCTACTCATTTAAAACCTTACATTTTTGGAGTGAATGATTGAAGATTTGGACGAGCTACTCATTTAGAGCCTTACATTTTTGGAGTGAATGATTGAAGATTTGGACAAGCTACTCATTTAAAACCTTACATTTTTGGAGTGAATGATTGAAGATTTGGACGAGCTACTCATTTAAAACCTTACATTTTTGGAGTGAATGATTGAAGATTTGGACAAGCTACTCATTTAAAACCTTACATTTTTGGTGTGAATGCTAGCAGGTAAAGATTTGGACGAGCTACTCTGCTCCTCAACAATGGGCCTCAGCCTTGTGAAGATGTTGACCCCTCTCAGCGCCAGAACAAGTGCAGGCTCCGAGGCCAGGGACCGGATGCTGGACCTCCAGCGCTTGTCCCCCACCTCGTACGGCGTCAGCTCCTTGGCCTGGTACATGCTAAGGGACGGCGTCCACTTGAGGCCCAGCAGCTCAAACTTCTCTGAGAGCACAGCCTGCAGGGGGGTCCTGCTGGAGTATGGGAGGACGTTCAGAATCTTGGCTGGGGACACAACACAGGGAGGTTAATGCTGGAGTATGGGAGGACGTTCAGAATCTTGGCTGGGGACACAACACAGGGAGGTTAATGCTGGAGTATGGGAGGACGTTCAGAATCTTGGCTGGGGACACAACACAGGGAGGTTAATGCTGGAGTATGGGAGGATGTTCAGAATCTTGGCTGGGGACACAACACAGGGAATATAATGCTGGAGTATGGGAGGACGTTCAGAACCTTGGCTGGGGACACAACACAGGGAGGTTAATGCTGGAGTATGGGAGGATGTTCAGAATCTTGGCTGGGGACACAACACAGGGAATATAATGCTGGAGTATGGGAGGACGTTCAGAACCTTGGCTGGGGACACAACACAGGGAGGTTAATGCTGGAGTATGGGAGGATGTTCAGAATCTTGGCTGGGGACACAACACAGGGAATATAATGCTGGAGTATGGGAGGACGTTCAGAATCTTGGCTGGGGACACAACACAGGGAGGTTAATGCTGGAGTATGGGAGGATGTTCAGAATCTTGGCTGGGGACACAACACAGGGAACACAAGGTTAATGCTGGAGTATGGGAGGACGTTCAGAATCTTGGCTGGGGACACAACACAGGGAACACAAGGTTAATGCTGGAGTATGGGAGGACGTTCAGAATCTTGGCTGGGGACACAACACAGGGAATATAATGCTGGAGTATGGGAGGACGTTCAGAATCTTGGCTGGGGACACAACACAGGGAATACAAGGTTAATGCTGGAGTATGGGAGGACGTTCAGAATCTTGGCTGGGGACACAACACAGGGAACACAAGGTTAATGCTGGAGTATGGGAGGACGTTCAGAATCTTGGCTGGGGACACAACACAGGGAACATAATGCTGGAGTATGGGAGGACGTTCAGAATCTTGGCTGGGGACACAACACAGGGAACATAAGGTTAATGCTGGAGTATGGGAGGACGTTCAGAATCTTGGCTGGGGACACAACACAGGGAGGTTAATGCTGGAGTATGGGAGGATGTTCAGAATCTTGGCTGGGGACACAACACAGGGAACACAAGGTTAATGCTGGAGTATGGGAGGACGTTCAGAATCTTGGCTGGGGACACAACACAGGGAATATAATGCTGGAGTATGGGAGGATGTTCAGAATCTTGGCTGGGGACACAACACAGGGAATATAATGCTGGAGTATGGGAGGACGTTCAGAATCTTGGCTGGGGACACAACACAGGGAATATAATGCTGGAGTATGGGAGGATGTTCAGAATCTTGGCTGGGGACACAACACAGGGAACACAAGGTTAATGCTGGAGTATGGGAGGACGTTCAGAATCTTGGCTGGGGACACAACACAGGGAATATAATGCTGGAGTATGGGAGGACGTTCAGAATCTTGGCTGGGGACACAACACAGGGAACACAAGGTTAATGCTGGGGTATGGGGGGACGTTCAGAATCTTGGCTGGGGACACAACACAGGGAACATAATGCTGGAGTATGGGAGGACGTTCAGAATCTTGGCTGGGGACACAACACAAGGTTAATGCTGGGGTATGGGGGGACGTTCAGAATCTTGGCTGGGGACACAACACAGGGAATATAATGCTGGAGTATGGGAGGACGTTCAGAATCTTGGCTGGGGACACAACACAGGGAATATAATGCTGGAGTATGGGAGGACGTTCAGAATCTTGGCTGGGGACACAACACAGGGAATATAATGCTGGAGTATGGGAGGACGTTCAGAATCTTGGCTGGGGACACAACACAGGGAATATAATGCTGGAGTATGGGAGGATGTTCAGAATCTTGGCTGGGGACACAACACAGGGAACACAAGGTTAATGCTGGAGTATGGGAGGATGTTCAGAATCTTGGCTGGGGACACAACACAGGGAGGTTAATGCTGGAGTATGGGAGGACGTTCAGAATCTTGGCTGGGGACACAACACAGGGAACATAATGCTGGAGTATGGGAGGATGTTCAGAATCTTGGCTGGGGACACAACACAAGGTTAATGCTGGAGTATGGGGGGACGTTCAGAATCTTGGCTGGGGACACAACACAGGGAACACAAGGTTAATGCTGGAGTATGGGGGGACGTTCAGAATCTTGGCTGGGGACACAACACAAGGTTAATGCTGGAGTATGGGGGGACGTTCAGAATCTTGGCTGGGGACACAACACAAGGTTAATGCTGGAGTATGGGAGGGCGTTCAGAATCTTGGCTGGGGACACAACACAAGGTTAATGCTGGAGTATGGGGGGACGTTCAGAATCTTGGCTGGGGACACAACACAGGGAACACAAGGTTAATGCTGGAGTATGGGGGGACGTTCAGAATCTTGGCTGGGGACACAACACAGGGAGGTTAATGCTGGAGTATGGGAGGACGTTCAGAATCTTGGCTGGGGACACAACACAGGGAACATAATGCTGGAGTATGGGAGGATGTTCAGAATCTTGGCTGGGGACACAACACAGGGAGGTTAATGCTGGAGTATGGGGGGACGTTCAGAATCTTGGCTGGGGACACAACACAGGGAATATAATGCTGGAGTATGGGAGGACGTTCAGAATCTTGGCTGGGGACACAACACAGGGAACATAATGCTGGAGTATGGGAGGATGTTCAGAATCTTGGCTGGGGACACAACACAGGGAACACAAGGTTAATGCTGGAGTATGGGAGGACGTTCAGAATCTTGGCTGGGGACACAACACAGGGAACATAATGCTGGAGTATGGGAGGATGTTCAGAATCTTGGCTGGGGACACAACACAGGGAACATAATGCTGGAGTATGGGAGGATGTTCAGAATCTTGGCTGGGGACACAACACAGGGAACACAAGGTTAATGCTGGAGTATGGGAGGACGTTCAGAATCTTGGCTGGGGACACAACACAGGGAACACAAGGTTAATGCTGGAGTATGGGAGGACGTTCAGAATCTTGGCTGGGGACACAACACAGGGAACACAAGGTTAATGCTGGAGTATGGGAGGACGTTCAGAATCTTGGCTGGGAACACAACACAGGGAGGTTAATGCTGGAGTATGGGGGGACGTTCAGAATCTTGGCTGGGGACACAACACAGGGAATATAATGCTGGAGTATGGGAGGACGTTCAGAATCTTGGCTGGGGACACAACACAGGGAGGTTAATGCTGGAGTATGGGAGGACGTTCAGAATCTTGGCTGGGGACACAACACAGGGAACACAAGGTTAATGCTGGAGTATGGGGGGACGTTCAGAATCTTGGCTGGGGACACAACACAGGGAATATAATGCTGGAGTATGGGAGGATGTTCAGAATCTTGGCTGGGGACACAACACAGGGAACACAAGGTTAATGCTGGGGTATGGGAGGATGTTCAGAATCTTGGCTGGGGACACAACACAGGGAGGTTAATGCTGGAGTATGGGAGGACGTTCAGAATCTTGGCTGGGGACACAACACAGGGAACATAATGCTGGAGTATGGGAGGACGTTCAGAATCTTGGCTGGGGACACAACACAGGGAACATAATGCTGGAGTATGGGAGGACGTTCAGAATCTTGGCTGGGGACACAACACAGGGAACACAAGGTTAATGCTGGAGTATGGGAGGACGTTCAGAATCTTGGCTGGGGACACAACACAGGGAGGTTAATGCTGGAGTATGGGGGGACGTTCAGAATCTTGGCTGGGGACACAACACAGGGAACACAAGGTTAATGCTGGAGTATGGGAGGATGTTCAGAATCTTGGCTGGGGACACAACACAGGGAGGTTAATGCTGGAGTATGGGAGGACGTTCAGAATCTTGGCTGGGGACACAACACAGGGAGGTTAATGCTGGAGTATGGGAGGACGTTCAGAATCTTGGCTGGGGACACAACACAGGGAATATAATGCTGGAGTATGGGAGGATGTTCAGAATCTTGGCTGGGGACACAACACAGGGAATATAATGCTGGAGTATGGGAGGATGTTCAGAATCTTGGCTGGGGACACAACACAGGGAACACAAGGTTAATGCTGGAGTATGGGAGGACGTTCAGAATCTTGGCTGGGGACACAACACAGGGAGGTTAATGCTGGAGTATGGGAGGACGTTCAGAATCTTGGCTGGGGACACAACACAGGGAATATAATGCTGGAGTATGGGAGGACGTTCAGAATCTTGGCTGGGGACACAACACAGGGAATATAATGCTGGAGTATGGGAGGATGTTCAGAATCTTGGCTGGGGACACAACACAGGGAACACAAGGTTAATGCTGGAGTATGGGAGGACGTTCAGAATCTTGGCTGGGGACACAACACAGGGAACATAATGCTGGAGTATGGGAGGATGTTCAGAATCTTGGCTGGGGACACAACACAGGGAACACAAGGTTAATGCTGGAGTATGGGGGGGACGTTCAGAATCTTGGCTGGGGACACAACACAGGGAACACAAGGTTAATGCTGGAGTATGGGAGGGCGTTCAGAATCTTGGCTGGGGACACAACACAAGGTTAATGCTGGAGTATGGGGGGACGTTCAGAATCTTGGCTGGGGACACAACACAGGGAACACAAGGTTAATGCTGGAGTATGGGGGGGACGTTCAGAATCTTGGCTGGGGACACAACACAGGGAACACAAGGTTAATGCTGGAGTATGGGAGGGCGTTCAGAATCTTGGCTGGGGACACAACACAAGGTTAATGCTGGAGTATGGGGGGACGTTCAGAATCTTGGCTGGGGACACAACACAGGGAACACAAGGTTAATGCTGGAGTATGGGGGGACGTTCAGAATCTTGGCTGGGGACACAACACAGGGAGGTTAATGCTGGAGTATGGGAGGACGTTCAGAATCTTGGCTGGGGACACAACACAGGGAATATAATGCTGGAGTATGGGAGGACGTTCAGAATCTTGGCTGGGGACACAACACAGGGAGGTTAATGCTGGAGTATGGGAGGACGTTCAGAATCTTGGCTGGGGACACAACACAGGGAATATAATGCTGGAGTATGGGAGGACGTTCAGAATCTTGGCTGGGGACACAACACAGGGAGGTTAATGCTGGAGTGTGGGAGGATGTTCAGAATCTTGGCTGGGGACACAACACAGGGAACACAAGGTTAATGCTGGAGTATGGGAGGACGTTCAGAATCTTGGCTGGGGACACAACACAGGGAGGTTAATGCTGGAGTATGGGAGGACGTTCAGAATCTTGGCTGGGGACACAACACAGGGAACACAAGGTTAATGCTGGATAGTTGGTGGCTCTTGTAGATTAAGCTCACTGATAGAAGTTAGGGTCTAGGCTCTGATAGATTACTCTGATGCTAGGGTCTAGGTTATAGATGATCTTTTAAATCAAATGTTTACAAACCAGTTAAAGTGAATCTGGTATTACAATTCAGTGAAGTATTGGTGATAGTGATAACAAGCCAGTACCTACCAAGTTCAAGGCCACATTTCTTAAGTATGTCATGACCTAGTAGAATCAAGGTCGCGACCTGTTCCTGGTCTTTTTCAACTTTCAAGTTGACGGAGGAGCTACGGCACATGTGGGAGAGGTCAAACTCTGGACTCTGTGGGGACATATGGGGTCAACATATATGTTTGGTGGTCACACACTCACAGACAGCAAACACAAAATAACTGCCCTTGAGAGAGACCCTACAAAAAATCAACCTTTTAAGTTCCTGTTAAGAAAACTGATCTTGGCAAAGTTGCTATTAAAACAACTGACCTTGCCAAAGTTGCTATTAAAACAACTGGCCTTGGCAAAGTTGCTATTAAAACAATTGATCTAGGAAAAGTTGCTATTAAAACAACTGACCTTGGCAAAGTTGCTATTAAAACAACTGACCTTGGCAAAGTTGCTATTAAAACAACAGACCTTGGCAAAGTTGCTATTAAAACAACTGACCTTGGCAAAGTTGCTATTAAAACAACTGACCTTGGCAAAGTAGCTATTAAAACAACTGACCTTGGCAAAGTTGCTATTAAAACAACTGACCTTGGCAAAGTTGCTATTAAAACAACTGACCTTGGCAAAGTTGCTATTAAAACAACTGACCTTGGCAAAGTCCCCACCCAGGAGAGCCAGCAGGGCGTCTGTGTACATGACAGCATGGAACAGGTGCTGGGACACCAGGGGCTCATCCAGTCTTTGTTGGACGCAGCCTGGGGTACAGGTGAGGCAGGTGGATTATGTGGGACAGGTGTCTTGTGGGGCGGGTGGCTTGTGGGACAGGTGTTGTGGGACAGGTGTCTTGTGGGACAGGTGTCTTGTGGGGCAGGTGTCTTGTGGGGCAGGTGTCTTGTGGGACAGGTGTCTTGTGGGACAGGTGTCTTGTGGGACAGGTGTCTTACAGGTGTCTTGTGGGACAGGTGTCTTACAGGTATCTTGTGGGACAGGTGTCTTGTGGGACAGGTGTCTTGTGGGACAGGTGTCTTGTGGGACAGGTGTCTTGTGGGACAGGTGTCTTGTGGGACAGGTGTCTTGTGGGGCAGGTGTCTTGTGGGACAGGTGTCTTACAGGTGTCTTGTGGGACAGGTGTCTTGTGGGACAGGTGTCTTGTGGGACAGGTGTCTTACAGGTGTCTTGTGGGACAGGTGTCTTGTGGGACAGGTGTCTTGTGGGACAGGTGTCTTGTGGGACAGGTGTCTTGTGGGACAGGTGTCTTGTGGGACAGGTGTCTTGTGGGACAGGTGTCTTGTGGGACAGGTGTCTTGTGGGACAGGTGTCTTGTGGGGCAGGTGTCTTGTGGGACAGGTGTCTTGTGAGACAGGTGTCTTGTGGGATAAGTGTCTTACGGGCGTCTTGTAAGACAGGTGTCTTAGAGGTGGCATGTTAGACAATTTTCTAAGAGGTGTATAGGATTCACGATCATTTTAGTTTCATTCTCAAAGAAGGATAAGATTTTAATGCTAGATGTAGCAAACAAACAACACTAGACTTGCACTATGTTTAGAGTCAGACTACCCTCGCCCACTGACCTAGATGCCTGCCCAGTGTGAGCTAGGCCACCCTGACCCACTGACCTAGATGCCTGCCCAGTGTGAGCTAGACCACCCTTGCCCACTGACCTAGATGCCTGCCCAGTGTGAGCTAGGCCACCCTCACCCACTGACCTAGATGCCTGCCCAGTGTGACCTAGACCACCCTCACCCACTGACCTAGATGCCTGCCCAGTGTGAGCTAGGCCACCTTCACCCACTGACCTAGATGCCTGCCCAGTGTGAGCTGAACCATGTAAGCTTCCAACAGACTGGCGGTGTTGTGAGCAGCGTTCTCCTTCCTCAGGAGAAACACAGTGCAGGGGGCAATGGCCTCCAGGGGCTTGTCCACATCCAGGTCGTCCAGCCGCGCCCCTGGACAAAAATAGGGGGTCATGTTCTGGGGGACTCCTGAAAAAAATCACACAGATTAGTCTACGTTTTGTTTGGTAATGTGCCACAGAGAAAATACTTTACCCTTTTAGGACCTGAGAGCAGTATATCCCCATATGGTAGCTACATAACTTGTAGGTTTAAACCTCTTTCATTGTCCAAGAAAAAGATTGATGGCACTTGACTAACCTGTATATTTATTCTAACATTGGATAACCAACAGAAATTTGGAACAAAACTAACCTAGATCTTTAATCAAACATTGTCCAACTAACAGAATAAGGGCACCAGATTGACCTAGATCTTCAATCAACCAATGTGAGGCTAATATGTATGACACAAGATAGACCTAGATCTCTAACTGTCCAACTAAGACTTAAGGCACTACGACTGACCTAGAACTCTAACTGTCACTACAACTGACCTAGATCTCTAACTGTCCAACTAAGACTTCAGACACTATGGCTGACCTAGATCTCTAACTGTCCAACTAAGACTTCAGACACTATGACTGACCTAGATCTCTAACTGTCCAACTAAGACTTCAGACACTACGACTGACCTAGATCTCTAACTGTCCAACTAAGACTTAAGACACTATGGCTGACCTAGATCTCTGTCCAACTAAGACTTAAGACACTATGGCTGACCTAGATCTCTATCCAACTAAGACTTAAGACACTATGGCTGACCTAGATCTCTATCCAACTAAGACTTAAGACACTATGGCTGACCTAGATCTCTATCCAACTAAGACTTAAGACACTATGGCTGACCTAGATCTCTATCCAACTAAGACTTAAGACACTATGGCTGACCTAGATCTCTAACTGACCAACTAAGACTTAAGACACTACAACTGACCTAGATCTCTGTCCTACTAAGACTTAAGGCAATACGACTGACCTAGATCTCTGTCCAACTAAGACTTAAGACACTATGGCTGACCTAGATCTCTATCCAACTAAGACTTCAGACACTATGGCTGACCTAGATCTCTAACTGTCCAACTAAGACTTCAGACACTATGACTGACCTAGATCTCTAACTGTCCAACTAAGACTTCAGACACTACGACTGACCTAGATCTCTAACTGTCCAACTAAGACTTAAGACACTATGGCTGACCTAGATCTCTGTCCAACTAAGACTTAAGACACTACGACTGACCTAGATCTCTATCCAACTAAGACTTAAGACACTATGGCTGACCTAGATCTCTGTCCAACTAAGACTTAAGACACTATGGCTGACCTAGATCTCTATCCAACTAAGACTTAAGACACTATGGCTGACCTAGATCTCTATCCAACTAAGACTTAAGACACTATGGCTGACCTAGATCTCTATCCAACTAAGACTTAAGACACTATGGCTGACCTAGATCTCTATCCAACTAAGACTTAAGACACTATGGCTGACCTAGATCTCTAACTGACCAACTAAGACTTAAGACACTACAACTGACCTAGATCTCTGTCCTACTAAGACTTAAGGCAATACGACTGACCTAGATCTCTGTCCAACTAAGACTTAAGACACTATGACTGACCTAGATCTCTAACTGACCAACTAAGACTTAAGACACTACGACTGACCTAGATCTCTATCCAACTAAGACTTAAGACACTACGACTGACCTAGAGATTTGGCCACCTTGGCAGACAGACACAGTCGCCTGACCCCCCTCAGCTGGTAGCCCCTGCGCTGGGCCGAGGCCATGAGAACACCCAGGTAGCTGACAGGCAGGAGCGGGGACAAGACCAGCAGGATGTCCGCCCTGCAGGTGGCAGTCAGGGATGCAGGCGGGCGGTGGACAGGCAGGGACTTGTGGTCAGTGCTGGAGTGCTGGGGAGAGGTCAGGGAGGTTAGTGGTGGGAGGGGGGGGGGCTCAGGTATTGAGATAATAATGTGGTGAGACAAGGATGTGGTGAGACAAGGATGTGGTGAGACAAGGATATGGTGAGACAATGACATGGTGAGACAATGACATGGTGTGACAATGACATGGTGAGACAATGACATGGTGAGACATTGAGATGGTGAGACATTGAGATGGTGAGACAATGACATGGTGAGACAATGACATGGTAAGACAATGACATGGTGATACAATGACATGGTGAGACAATGAGATGGTGTGACAATATCATGGTGAGACAATGACATGGTGAGACAATGAGATGGTGAGACAATGAGATGGTGAGACAATGAGATGGTGTGACTATATCATGGTGAGACAATGACATGGTGAGACAATGAGATGGTGAGACAATGACATGGTGATACAATGACATGGTGAGACAATGAGATGGTGAGACAATGAGATGGTGTGACAATATCATGGTGAGACAATGACATGGTGAGACAATGAGATGGTGAGACAATGACATGGTGATACAATGACATGGTGAGACAATGAGATGGTGAGACAATGAGATGGTGTGACTATATCATGGTGAGACAATGACATGGTGAGACATTGAGATGGTGAGACAATGACATGGTGAGACAATGACATGGTGATACAATGACATGGTGAGACAATGAGATGGTGAGACAATGACATGGTGAGACAATGACAAATTATCTTTACTCATTAACTAATACAACAAATATTTTTTTTACCTTTTTCCCTTTTTTGCTCTTCCCAACTTCTTTCTTAAGGTATGGCAGACCAACGTCCACTGTAGCCGCACCAGAGGGGACTCGTCCACCAAACCACCTGGTCAGTTCACTCTGAAATGGTCACCTTGTTTCACTACCTGTACTCTAACTACCTGTATTCTAACTACCTGCATTCTAACTACCTGTATTCTAACTACCTGTATTTTAACTACCTGTATTCTAACTACCTGCATTCTAACTACCTGTATTCTAACTACCTGCATTCTTAACTACCTGTATTCTAACTACCTGTATTCTAACTACCTGTATTCTAACTACCTGCATTCTAACTACCTGTATTCTAGCTACCTGTAGTCTAACTTCCTGTATTTTCACTGATTAGCTACTTATATTCTAGCTGGGCTTAGGGTATTACGTCTGTCAACAACACCCTCCCCGTGAGGATACATATTAAAATTATAACTATCCTTATTCATTTACATAACCCTATTCCCCTCATCCTAACCCTAACTAAACCAAGCCTATACCATACCAAATTTTTTAGGTAGGGTTAATTAGCTGGCAACAGGGGTAGTGGAGAAGGCAGTTGTCCTACTGCAGGTTTATAGGGTAATGTAATTGATCCGATGGATCAGGGGGATAATCTACATGGGTGTAATTGATGGGGGGAGGGGGGTAATGTCCTGCTCTCATTTACTCAATTTACCTGTACTCTAGACAAATTTCTTGGACAGAAGAGGTGGACATTTTCCCGGGACTCCCCACCAAACTGGGCACAGAGTGAGTTGGGGTCAGTCCTGCGCGCCAGCTCCGGGTCCGAGGGTCCCACAGAGTCCAGCCAGATGGTCCTGGCGAAGGTGCCCCGCAGTGCCAGTGCTAGCACCGGCCCCACCTGGTTCAGGTTGTCAAGGTCGCTGGAGGGCGGGGCGTCCTCACCCTGGAGCTTCATCTGCTCACCACAAGGGTAAACCAGCCTGACCCCAGCAAGGTCAAGGCCCTCCTGGAATTTAAAAATTCATTTGACCATGGAAACACATGTCAAACAGGTACCAACTAGTGTGGTTAAAACTAAACAAAAAAACCTGAGTAAAGACTGCCAGGTGTAGTATAACTGCACATGTCATATACTGTCAAGTCATTTCACAAGTCACCACATGTCAAATGTCATGCAACATCATGTGATATCACCTGTGTTACATCAGGTTCAAGTCACCACATGTCATGTCACCTCACCTGTGTAATGTGTCACCTCACCTGCATCATGTCAGTGTCAAGTCACAACATGTTGAGTGTCATGTCATGACATGTCATATGTCACCTCACCTGTCTAATGTCACCACATGTCAGTTGTCATGTCACATGTCAGTTGTCATGTCACCACATGTGACATGTCACCTCACCTGTGTTACATCAGTGTCATGTCACAACATATCAGGTGTCATGCCACCACACTTCATATGTCACCTCACCTGTCTAATGTCAGTGTCATGTCACCACATGTCACCTCACCTGAGCCGCTCTGTTCAGAATGGACATGATGCCAGAAGGGTTCCCATAGATTCTCTTGTAAACCAGTGACATTGTGTTCTGTGTCTCGTAGTTGACGTTCTCGTCATGACACTCTATGTCACACCAGCCCTCGTCATTATCCACTGTCTGCCAGTAGAACCCCACTGGGATGTTGAAAATTTTTCTGGCCGCTTGGGGGTCAGAGTTCATCTAAAGTGGGTTGAAAAATAGATGGCTTAGCAATGTTTGTGTTGTGATTGAATTATTATAAGCAATTCCTTTTTTAACATTCAACAAACTATAGCTTTTATCAAATGAAAAATTTACATACATCTTAAAAAAAATATTTAATGGTAAACAATTTTAGTGCAACTGAAAATGTGGGTAAAATATTTTATTTTGTACACTAAAAAGTAAATTGAATAATTTTCCAGGAAAATTAATGGAAAATAAAATAGTGTAGCTAATGATGGGGGGGAAGGGGAGACATTTATACCCTGTTGGTATATTTTACTTTTTTAGAAATATGTACAAGAAGTGGGTGGTGTCAAATTAAGAATCAGCCATAGTGCAATGGCCATTGTAAAAATTAAAACTGTGCTAGTAAAAATTAAAACTGTACTGGTAAAAATTAAAATAGTAAAAATTAAAACTGTGCTAGTAAAAATTAAAATTGTGCTAGTAAAAATTAAAACTGCTAGTAAAAATTAAAACTGTGCTAGTAAAAATTAAAACTGTACTGGTAAAAATTAAAATAGTAAAAATTAAAATTGTGCTAGTAAAAATTAAAACTGTGCTAGTAAAAATTAAAACTGTGCTAGTAAAAATTAAAACTGTGCTGGTAAAAATTAAAACTGCGCTAGTAAAAATTAGAACTGTGCTAGTAAAAATTAAAACTGTGCTGGTAAAAATTAAAACTGTGCTAGTAAAAATTTAAAACTCACCTGGATAAAAGTAGACAAGGGTTTAGTGGATATCTTGGGAAGAGGGGGGGTGTAAGTGTAGCAAGGTGGTGAGCTGTCAGCATGTGGGGGTGAGCTCCGCCCGTCCTGACGGTCAGGCTGGACCGTGACGGAGGTGAGCAGTTCCAGCCAGGGGCAGACAGAGCTGAGGGTGTTGGTCAGCAGGTGGTTGCTGATGTGTTGGCTGAACCTGGAGCTGCCTCTGGTCTCGTCCTTACCCTGGGGCACATGGAAAACATGTTGTTAGACAACTTTAATGGATATATTGCAGAACAACTTTAACAAATATATTGCAGAACAACTTTAATGGATCAGTTGCAGAACAACTTTAATGGATCAGTTGCAGAACAACTTTAATGGATCAGTTGCAGAACAACTTTAATAGATCAGTTGCAGAACAACTTTAATGGATCAGTTGCAGAACAACTTTAATGGATGTGTTGCAGAAAAAGTGTATAGGATACCATGTTGCAGAACAATTTTAATGGGTGTGTTGCCGAACAAATGTACAGGATAATATGTTGCAGAACAATTGTACAGGATAACATGTTACAGAAAATTTTTATTGGATGTGTTGCAGAATAACTCTATGTTACGTTGCAGAATAATTATATTGGACAACATGCAAAACACAACAAATGTATAGGACAAGATGTTGCCAAGCATTTATGTTCTACCAAGAGCTAAGTTTGACATCTATTTTTTTTATGTTTTTTTTTGTTTTTCTTGCACTGTAAGAATATTTAGATCTAGATATATTTTAAAATTAAAAAATGTAATAAATGTTTTAAATAAATACTACAACTGTGTAGCATTTTATTTCACTACTACGGAAATGAAACTGACTGGATTTAACAAGCAAAAGTTTGAGTCATTTTTAAAAAAATAAATTAGTTTTGTTTTATCACAAAGTAGCTAAAATTCTCTGTAAAAAGTATTTGCAGTAAAATGATCTTTAGAATAAAAATATTTTAAACTGCTGCCTACTGCCTACAGTAAAAAGTGGCTTCTCAGTTTCAATACCTTGTTTTTCTTATGCCTGGCATTTTTACCAGATTCTGCCAGAAAATGTTCGGAGGGTGTCACAACGATGTACAGTTTCAGCTCTTCCTGCATCCACAGCTGTTGTAGGCCAATGACATAAAATGTGGGGGCTTGCATGTTGGCTGGGGGCTGGGTGGGGGGCTGGGGTTGAGTCTTGAGGAAGTTGAAGTTGTGAGGCACCAGGGACAGTAGCCATGACAACAAGGCGGTGTAGGTACCAGATAAGCCTTCACCTGCAGAAAGAAGTTTCTTAGTTTACAACTCAATTTTTGTCTTACTGCTTGATTTTTTTATAGTTTTGGCTTGGTAAGCCTTTAAAAGCTAGAAGTTGCTTAAATTATTTTTTTGGTTTAACTAGTCGAATTTTTAAAAACTACTTTAGTTCGATAAAACAAAAAATGCATATTAAGATGGTTAAATATGATGTTTGCATAAATATTATGTAATTTTTTTTTTTTAAATTCTATTATGTTTTTGAAAATTTTTAAATGAAATGAATTTATTTCTATGTCAGGGAAACACAAGCATATTTTTAAATTAGACATTTTTAAAATTTAGTAACATTCATCACAACAATTAAAAACTGACCTGTGTCCACACTCCGGTTAGATCTGTTTCGATGTTGAATTATCTCCCCATTACTGGACAAGTTGACTGTCAGAAGCAAGGTCTCTCTATCAGGGGAGAGAACTGTTGGCAGGGTAGTTGGAGCGGGTTCATAGGATACCTCCTGCAGATAAAACAAAGCTTCTCAGTTAATAAAATACATTATTTAACTGTGATAGGTGTATACCCTTCAATCACCACCAGAAAATACCATTGGTAATGTCCCTTCACTCTGAGTTAAGTCCCCTACGTTAGGTTGGGAATAATCCTTTGAAATGTTTGCAAAAATTTATGTTTAGGCACTGTTATTTAAGTTCATTCATTTTGTACGCATGTTAAAGATGTATGTTTGTTGCGACACACAAGTATTTTGCTGTTAAACATGCTGATGTTTACGCAGACCCGAACACTACTGTTTGTCCACACAAGTCAATTGTATTCTGACCCCTCCTCCCAGTGCTAAATTCTAAACTGACCAGATCAAAGAGTACGGGCGTGTTTTCTCCAGCTGATTGCCTCCCTTGTGTAGTGGCCAGAGACTTGGCGGCCTCGATCTGTTGGCCCATACGTACTCGCTTCTCTCTCTCTTTCTCCCTCTGCTCCCTCAACTTCCTGCCACAGAGAAATAAAAACTTAAAAGATGTACAACAAAACAAAATTTCTTAGAATTTTCAGTGTAGCGTTACACAAGTAAAGGGCCATAGCTATGTTCAAATCTAATTTAAAAACTTATTTTAAGTTTTATAAGTTAAGTTTCCCTTTCAGACCCGAAGATCAATAGGGTAGATGAAGTAGAGTTCATGTTTCTTGACCTGAGCATATGAAAGGATGGTGTGGTCAGCTGCCTTTATTTTCCCTAATGTGAGTCAGGTACCCATCATAGCTGGATGAACTCAAAGATGACCTCCCATGTCAAGACCAGGATCTGAACTCATGACCTTTGTGCCAGCAGTCAAGCATCCTACAGCTCGACCACAACATTCCAGAGTAAATCCGTTTTAAGTTGTTGGATGGATGGATGTGATGACAGATCCAACAATGTTGAAAAACATCATGATGTGATGTATGGAGATGTTTAAAGGGGAGTGGGTGGTGCCTCATTCATTACCTAGCCTCCTCTCTCTGCCTCTCCTTCTCCCTCTCTGCCTCCAGTTTCTCCACCCTTCTCTTGTTGTCCTCCAGCACCTCAGTGCTCACTTCCTCCGTCTGCGTCTCAGGTGGCGCCACATTCCAACGGCGGCTCACTTCATGCTCCTATTTTTAGAACAATTACACACTGTGTTTGATTTACTTGTGGTTGTGTGAGGCTGGTTTTAATTAAAGATGTTGTAGGGCTGGTTATACTTTAAGTTGATGTGGTGTTGTTTTACTTTAAGAAAGATGGTGTGGTATTGTTTTACTTTAAGAAAGATGGTGTGGTATTGTTTTACTTTAAGATGGTTGTTTTAGTGAGAAATGGTGTGGTGCCAACCATAAAAGCTAGGACCATACTAATGTAGGCAAATCAAACATCTCTACATTATAATTTAGTTTATTTTTGTTTATAATTTTTTTTTAATTACTTATTTAATCCTATGATTATAGGTTTTTATTATTAAAAAAAACATTACTAAATAACATAAACAAGGAACAGCAACTCTAACAAAAAAGCTAGATTCTGTCCCCTAGTTTAAGAGATAAAAAAAAATCTTCCTCTGTCTGATGCTATGAGTTACCTGCAAGTTAATAACCCTGGGTGGCCTCTTGTACTTGGGCTGATGTAAAACCTCTTTCTTCTCCGGCCCCACCGGATCTTTCTGCAGGGTGGCAGCTGCACCGTGTGCCACCAAGTCATCTTTGATTTTCTGTCTCGTGAGGCGCCAGTTGCAGCGCTCAACCATCTCCTCATCACTAGAACTATCAGACTCCCTGTCAGAGAACAATTAGAAAATGATATCACTAGAACTGTCAGACTCCCTAGCAGAGAACAATCACAAAATGATATCACTAGAGCTGGCAGAGAACAATCACAAAATGATATCACTAGAACTATCAGACTCCCTAGCAGAGAACAATCACAAAATGATATCACTAGAGCTGGCAGAGAACAATCACAAAATGATATCACTAGAACTATCAGACTCCCTAGCAGAGAACAATCACAAAATGATATCACTAGAGCTGGCAGAGAACAATCACAAAATGATATCACTAGAACTGTCAGACTCCCTAGCAGAGAACAATCACAAAATGATATCACTAGAGCTGGCAGAGAACAATCACAAAATGATATCACTAGAACTGTCAGACTCCCTAGCAGAGAACAATCACCAAATGATATCACTAGAGCTGGCAGAGAACAATCACAAAATGATATCACTAGAACTGTCAGACTCCCTAGCAGAGAACAATCACAAAATGATATCACTAGAGCTGGCAGAGAACAATCACAAAATGATATCACTAGAACTATCAGACTCCCTAGCAGAGAACAATCACAAAATGATATCACTAGAGCTGGCAGAGAACAATCACAAAATGATATCACTAGAACTATCAGACTCCCTAGCAGAGAACAATCACAAAATGATATCACTAGAGCTGGCAGAGAACAATCACAAAATGATATCACTAGAACTATCAGACTCCCTAGCAGAGAACAATCACAAAATGATATCACTAGAGCTGGCAGAGAACAATCACAAAATGATATCACTAGAACTGTCAGACTCCCTAGCAGAGAACAATCACCAAATGATATCACTAGAGCTGGCAGAGAACAATCACAAAATGATATCACTAGAACTGTCAGACTCCCTAGCAGAGAACAATCACCAAATGATATCACTAGAGCTGGCAGAGAACAATCACAAAATGATATCACTAGAACTGTCAGACTCCCTAGCAGAGAACAATCACCAAATGATATCACTAGAGCTGGCAGAGAACAATCACAAAATGATATCACTAGAACTGTCAGACTCCCTAGCAGAGAACAATTACAAAATGATATCACTAGAGCTGGCAGAGAACAATCACAAAATGATATCACTAGAACTGTCAGACTCTCTAGCAGAGAACAATCACAAAATGATATCACTAGAGCTGGCAGAGAACAATCACAAAATGATATCACTAGAACTGTCAGACTCCCTAGCAGAGAACAATCACAAAATGATATCACTAGAACTGTCAGAGAACAATCACAAAATGATATCACTAGAGCTGGCAGAGAACAATCACAAAATGATATCACTAGAACTGTCAGACTCCCTAGCAGAGAACAATCACAAAATGATATCACTAGAACTGTCAGAGAACAATCACAAAATGATATCACTAGAACTGTCAGAGAACAATCACAAAATGATATCACTAGAACTGTCAGAGAACAATCACAAAATGATATCACTAGAACTGTCAGAGAACAATCACAAAATGATATCACTAGAACTGTCAGACTCCCTAGCAGAGAACAATCACAAAATGATATCACTAGAGCTGGCAGAGAACAATCACAAAATGATATCACTAGAACTATTAGACTCCCTAGCAGAGAACAATCACAAAATGATATCACTAGAGCTGGCAGAGAACAATCACAAAATGATATCACTAGAACTGTCAGACTCCCTGTCAGAGAACAATAGCAAAATGATATCACTAGTTGTCAGAACAATCACAAAATGATATCACTAGAACTGTCAGACTCCCTGTCAGAGAACAATAGCAAAATGATATCACTAGTTGTCAGAACAATCACAAAATGATATCACTAGAACTGTCAGACTCCCTAGCAGAGAACAATCACAAAATGATATCACTAGAACTGGCAGAGAACAATAGCAAAATGATATCACTAGAACTGTCAGACTCTCTAGCAGAGAACAATTACAAAATGATATCACTAGAACTGTCAGACTCCCTAGCAGAGAACAATTACAAAATGATATCACTAGAACTGTCAGACTCCCTAGCAGAGAACAATTACAAAATGATATAACTAGAACTGTCAGACTCCCTGTCAGCGAACAATCACAAAATGATAAGTCCTAAATTAGATCCAAGTCTGTTTACCTTATTTACTAGGTATTTTAAATTTTGAAAAATATGTGTTTAAAAAAAATGTATTTTAAATTTTGAAAATCATTTGTTTCATTGTCTATTTATTTAATCTATTTACTCTTGCGTATTGTTGATCCCTAGGACCCTCTGGACACTTTGCATGGCTTGTTTTTGGGCCTCCTTCTTGCGCTCAAAGCCTCTGAGATCAATGAATATTGTTGGTGGTTCTGTCTCACGTTTTTCTGTAACAATCAAAGGACAAATACTATGAGTATAGAGGTAAAATATGCAAAGTAGAGATGACTTAGTGCTATCTGGGTTAAATATTAAATTTTAGATTTTTAAAAAAAAAACCAACAATTCTAAACTTTAAAGATTTTTTAATGTGCAGCATCTTTTTATAAAATAATTGTGTGTGGTAGTTGTGGCTGTAATTACAACAAATCTAAATGTGAGTCTGCGGTGAATGGGTGCGTAACCTAAGGTTAAAATTTGTGTACAAGTTGTGGCAATCTTCCACAGATTAAATAAATTTAAAATTTATTACACTATGGTCATACTATTTTTATGTAAAATGCAATCACAAAAGTCATAACATGTTTTAGCATTACCCTACCATACAACATGCTATAAAGACAGATGGACACTCCACATGTAGAGAGGACATTACCATGTTTGAGACGTCCATACAAAATCTTGGCCTCCATGTTTTAGGATTACCCTACCATACAACATGCTATAAAGACATACACACCCCATAGAGAGGACATTACCATGTTTGAGACGTCCATACAACATGCTATAAAGACATACACACCACATGTAGATAGGACATTACCATGTTTGAGACATCCATACAAAATCTTGGCCTCCATGTTTTAGGATTACCCTACCATACAACATGCTATAAAGACATACACACCCCATAGAGAGGACATTACCATGTTTGAGACGTCCATACAACATGCTATAAAGACATACACACCACATGTAGATAGGACATTACCATGTTTGAGACGTCCATACAAAATCTTGGCTTTCTCAACTCGCGTGGCTGTGTTTGTACCAAAGTTGGATGTACTTGCACCTGAGGACCAAACCAATCTCTTCTACAATCTTTAAGGCAATGATGCTAAGCTTAAGCTACTGAGTTCAAATCTGGGTGCCCTAAAGATTTAAATTCATCTCTTAAAGACACCCATCAGTGGACTCTGCTTGAATAGATTCCTGGCACCCATTAGGGCATCTGGGGTGTAGCCTATACTACATGCCACCAAGGCACCCACCCTCTTTAACAACTACATCAAGAACAAACTAATGTCTTAAAGCAACCACAATATATTCATCTGATTCATCTGATTCATATTCATATGATTCATTTCATCAAATGGTGCCCAATCCATGACACAGTAGATGTTTCATGTGTTAAAAGAATGTGTTTAGAGAGTTTGTTTCCATGTTAGTAAATCAAAGCTTCTCTAATAAATTGACTTTATTCTTAGATGATGATGATGAAGATATTAAGATAAAACTTGCTGAACGAGAGATGTCTAAATGCATTAAGCCGGAGGAGAAAGTGTAAATAGATAGCAACAAACTAATAGGGGGTCTCAACACAGCTGACTGGACAGGGAAGGGTATGGGGGGTAGGGAAGGGTACGGGGGTAGGGAAGGGTACGGGGGTAGGGAAGGGTATGGGGGTAGGGAAGGGTACAGGGTAGGGAAGGGAATGGGGGTAGGGAAGGGTACGGGGGTAGGGAAGGGAATGGGGGTAGGGAAGGGTATGGGGGTAGGGAAGGGTACAGGGTAGGGAAGGGTACGGGGGTAGGGAAGGGTACGGGGGTAGGAAAGGGAATGGGGTTCATGCCTTTATCAATATAAGATATAAGGCGGTAAAAAAATTTAAAATTGAAGATATTTTGAAATTTTCAAGGACAGCAGTGATGAAAATTAATGTTGGTTATATGAAGTTTGGTGTGTGCAATTTTGTGATGTCATTTTAATTAGGACGTGTCATTTTTTGTAATGAAGATTGATGGTTTAAGGGGGAGGGGGAAATCAGCTAGGAATGAAGGGTTATAAAAGACCCCTTATTTACAAAGGATAATTTTAAAACCCTCACTAGTCACATGTGCTGACTCCACTCTCACCTGATGTCTGTGACCCAGTTTCTAAGCTTTTCCCAGCAATTATTTGATCTTCAATTTGAAGAGCAGCATTTTCTACAGGAGAGTTGCCTTTCCCTTGGTTATCTTCTACAGGGTCAGCACTGGCCTTAATGATGGCGCCAGTCTGGGGGTCCACTGCAGCGGCATCTGTCCCACCCTGCTGGGCTGAGAGTTGGGCCAGTTTCTGGATCATGGTCAACTCTTCAGACAACGCTGGAGAGGAAATAAGCACATTGTTACATGTTGTAGCTTTCAGACAAGGCTGGTGAGGAAATAAGCACATTGTTACATGTTGTAGCTTTCAGACAAGGCTGGTGAGGAAATAATCACATTATTACATATTGTTGTAGGTGTAGTGGAGGAAATAAGCACATTATTACATGTTGTTGTAGCTTTCTGACAATGCTGGTGAGGAAATAAGCACATTATTACATGTTGTTGTATGTGTAGTGGAGGGAATAAGCACATTGTTACATGTTGTTGTAGCTTTCAGACCAGGCTAGAGAGGAAATAAACACATTATTACATGTTGTTGTACGTGTAGGCCTTTAGAAAACCTGCATGAAAAGATCAAATAATTGTTTAAAAAATACTTAAAACAGTTTTGATGACAAATTTTGTTAACAAAACAAATAAATAGTAGAGAATGAAAAGGTAAACCTGATATATTGTTTTAACAGGATTTTAAAAAGTAATTCACTGATACTTTACATTCAAATAAAACAGTATTGGTTGGTATAAATTTAATTTTCAGCATCCTGCTCTAACATGACCATCAAAAATATGAAACTGAAAGTGATACATTCACCACCAAAACTGAAACTTCAGTAACACAAAAACTAAACATCTATGAACCACATCTCACCCAAAAACTTCAACAACCATCATTTAAATCATCTTTACCTTTCTTCCCTTTTCCATCCCCTGAGCCCTCAAGACTCCTCGTTGTCTGAGACACAGGTGGCTGAGCAGCTGCTCGCAAATTTGTTAAAGAAATGTTTTCTTCATTGGCTGAGTTAAGAACAGAATCTGCAAAAAAAAATTTTTTTTTTAATGGAATGTAATTATACAAATTTAATCAACATCAAAACTAAAACCCTTTGGTTCTCGCTTGTTCAAAAAATTATATGGAGAAGTTTTACAATGTTTTAATTTTTGAGTTTTTTCATTAATAAGGATAAAAAATAATTAATGCTTCTAACCAATACCAGTATCCTGAGATTTTTAAAAATTAAGTTCTTTAATTAAAATTAAGAAAGCAAGTAAAATAAAAACTATTCTAACCAACCATTGTCAATATACTGAGATTTTTAAAAATTAAATTTTATAATAAAAATTAACAAAGCACGTAAAATAAAAGCTTTTATAACCCACCAAGTTAAATAAAAAGTATTTTAACCAACCAATTTCACTGATTAACAAAGCAAGTAAAATAAAAACTATTATAACCAACCAAGTAAAATAAAAACTATTATAACCAACCAAGAAAAATAAAAACTATTACAACCAACCAAGTAAAATAAAAACTATAACCAACCAAGTAAAATAAAAACTATAACCAACCAATGTCACTGATTAACAAAGCAAGTAAATAAAAACTATAACCAACCAATGTCAATATCTTCAAACACACTAAGGGAGAGCAGTGTTGGTTCTTGGGGAGAAAACTTTGACACAATTTCCTCATCTTTTGACCGAGCTGTTTCTTGAAAATTCTTTCGTTTGTCATTCATGTCTAACTTTTTAATTCCTTCCTCCAGTTTTTTTTTCAACTTTGTCACTGACTTCAACAAAAAACTGCTAGTTCCTTTTATATCTGCTTCCTGTGACTCACTAGAGTCATTATGAGATTCATCCACTAATTCCTCCCTGCAGTCATCTCCCCTAGACTCTAAAATATTGGACTGTAATTTATTTGCCTTCATAGAAGGCGACATGACTGAATGAGAAGAAAAGTGTCCAAGATTCCGAGACCTTTGAAAATCTATTTCCTCCCTGATTTCCAACTCCAACTCACTATCCTCCATCTGCCTTGCCAAGCAACGCCAATTTGCAATCTCTTCATCAGTAGGGTATGAGGTCTGAGCCATTATGGCTGCCAAATCATTGTCATACATCTCATATGGAACATTATCAAATCTGTTTTCTGTCACAGATTCTGAATTTTTATCTACAGATATATTTCTATCCTCGCATGAAAGAAACGAATCGTTCTTTGAAAAAATTGTGTCTCCTCTGTTTACACAGGTCAACTGCGGGCCATCTCCTTGACTTAAAGATGTGTCCAAGTCCTTATCATCATCAAACGTGGAATTTAATTCACTGAGTTTCAGATTTTGGTGAAAGAATATTGGCTCGTCATTGTCGGAGGAAACCTGTTCAAAGGTGAATAATTAAATATTTTTCAGAAGAGAAACTAAAGCACAGTTGCAAACTATTTTTGAGGTAGTTAAAGGTCAAGGTTTTCTTTTGGTAGGTGTCATTATCAACTACAAAAAATAAACACTAATTTAAGTTGAACTAAAGCTTTGAAACGCTACAAGATATTGAAGATAAGGCTGGTGATGATTGATTAAATAGCAAATGTAATCTTATTTCAAATTGGGTTGTAACAAATAACATTTTAAAGTTACAAAATATCAACATTAGATTAAAACAATAAACAAGAATTATTTCTACCAAACTAAAATAAAATAATCTTCCACAATAATATTAAAAAGACTTACATCTGAAGAATCAAAGTCGATAGTTGGTAAATTTTTCTGAACTTCTGAAAAGATTTTATCAATCTGTGGTTTCAGAATATTAACAGTTGATGGAAATCCTTCCATTTTTGGGTTAAATGTCAGTCCACAAAAATGATTGTGTGTTGTTCTGTGTTCAGCATCACTGTCCTCATCACTGGTCTCCATACTATAGGGCAAGATGAAGAAATGTTTTGTTACTTTTGGAGTTTGGTTTGGAGCTTATGGAATCAGAGCGATCTCATTCAATCTCTAGTGGTTTACTAACAGTAAAGAGCTACTTTAAATATCAACTAACTACTTTAGAGTTTCAGAAGGGTATACGAATATATAAATGAAAGATCAGAGTTTTTGTAAAAGGCCTATCACATTGATTTTTCAAAGAGGGTGGGAAGTTTCTATAAAAGTTAATTAATAGTTATTATAAAGAGGAATTGAGGCTAATATTAATAACTAGTAATAACAATACATGAATTACATGGCATACATGGGTTTGGTAAAACAAGTGTCAAAAATTAAAAAATGTTTGTGTTGTATTTTAAATTTAACAAATTTATTTATTTAGCTTTTAGACTGGCCTTAGTAAAGTTATGAGCAGGCCAAAGGACTTTCTTTAGTTTTGGAAGATTTTTACAGTTTAGGTAAGTGACTTAAGTATTTATTAATTTAATAATAGTATTTACAATTAGAATAGATTATTTTAGCCTAGTCGTAGTCAGCCTAGTCTCCCTGGTCCCTACTCCCAGTCTAGACTAAAAAAAATATCTTGAGTCTAGATCTTGGAATCTGGGTACAGATACGCAAACATTTGTTTTTATAACTTTCTTCAATGTGAGTTATTGTAAATCAAGCAGCTGAGCTAAATTACATAAAGCATAGTTAACAGTTAAACAAAATGCATTTTTCAGAAAATTGTTTATTAAAATTCAGACGCCGGAAGAAGCTTTTATTTCCATGGTAATTGTGACAACAATCAATACGAACGAGAATCCTTTCGCACTTTGCTAAATAAAATAGTTACATAACTATGGCTTTGACATTCAAAAGATTAAGCAAAAAATTTTCGCAGGTTATCCGAACCAACCTTTATAGTTCTTATTAATATCAGCTAGTAAACTAATGCTGAATTCGTCAATCGAAGGAATGAGGCACGATTGTTGTTAATATGATCACGCGAGATCTCGTACACTAAATAGACTTTTCTACATTAAAGAGTTTATCTTTTGACTTTCGCTTTCAGCTTGATACGGGTTTTTCCCCGGGTTTTTTTTCCCCCATTCACGACAGTGGACTGCATTTTGCTTACACTTACTGACTTGTCTAACGTCAAGTTGAAACAAGACTTTTACTAACCCATATGCCCCCCCCCGACTAATAAGTCAGACCAAAAAAAAACATTAATCCATACTATCCGTGTTTTCAAGCGTAGGCCTATATTGAATAATAATAAATGATAGTAGATCCAGAGCCGGCGTTAGGGGGTGGCGAACGGGGCGGTCGCCATAGGCCCCGCGCTTGAAGGGGCCCCGCGCTTCAGCACTGTCATTGTTATCTGAATTAATTCGTAAACTTAAAAAAATCGTTGCTGAATTCAATTGGGAAAAACTAAATGGTCGAATGCCGACGTTGTTGATTGTTATAACTGAGGCCACGGTTTATGTTGCTGAGTCTCACCTGAACTGGGAAAGGCCGTAATTCAATAGAAAAATAGTGTCACACCTCCCTTTGTGTAGGGTACGGTCGCCTGGCATTTGGCCTGAGTTGACTGGAGATGGCGGTCGAGAATTAGCCCACGACGTAAAGAGATACCCTATTGTATGCGGACCGATAAAGACTTCCTTTTAGTGAGCAGACGGGATGTCTATAGTAGACAGTTAGTGACCCGATGAACTCTAGTCCTGACTTTTTGTTGTAGATGTCGTATAATTTCGTATATGTACAGTGTTTCTTCCAGACTTTTTTCTCCGGGGGGGAGGGGCACTTGAAATTTTCGGGGGGGGGGGGGTAGACTTTCTTCGGGGGGGGGGGGGGGAGGGCGGACACTGTTAAAAGTATATATTTTCTCTATAAATTATATAAATTTCATTTCGTTTTCGGGGGGGGAGGGGGGAAGGGCAAGCCGAAGAGATGCCTGGAAGAAACTCTATATGTAGGCCTACGTGTCTTGGTATAACAAAATTAACATTCAGTTGCGTGCAGAGGGGTGGGAGGAGGGCGACGAGAAGGGGGGGGGGGGGTGGGGCCTTAGGATCTATATCAGGCGGCATTAAACAGAGTGATTTATTATTATTTTTTGGAAGAAAGTTAAAACTGTTGTTATGTTGTGTCACCCGTTCAATAGTTAAGACAATAATGATTTTGGTTTTAAAATATTGTATGAATTCTAAACAAATTTTTTGAAGTCTATACTGTTTTGATACATCAGGCCGAGTTCGCTGTATTGTAAACTTTATTTTCCTAATTATTCGGCACGTGATTAAACTTTCTTAAGTGATTTGGTATGAATTACATAACTGTTAAAAGTGATTTAATATCTTAGCAAAGGAAAAAAAAAAACTACGAACATTGGGTTAATACATGGGAGAGATAAAAATCTGTTATTATAGTGGAAAGTTTGACATTAGCTTATAAACTCCAAAACATTTGTGTTATTATGTGTACATCACATTATATAGGCCTTTATACATATATATATATATATATATATATATATATATATATATATATATATAATGGAAAGGCCCCGCGCGGATGGTTGGCCCTAGGCCCCGCGTATTCCTAACGCCGGCTCTGAGTAGATCTACAAGTCACAGGGAAAAAGTCACAAATGTGTTTTTGCATAGAATCTGTTAATATAATTTTATGTTTTCAGAAATGTGCAAAACAACATACGATTAATTAAGTTAATGCAAATATTTAGCTTGAAGTATTTAGGTTTTTAATTCCGTCATAAAAATAAATTAAATAGAATGTTCAAGCCTACTCAGTTTTCATCGTGTTTTTAAAATACCAACTTTGAATCAGCGAGAAATGGAAAGAAGACAAAGTTAAAATGATTTGTTGTCTTCGCCTCGTCACAACAATTGTTCAGACACCCTGACGGCCTACATTTGTCGCCCTCATTAAACCAAGAGTTTGTTCCACGCATCTCTTCGGGGAATTTATAAATGGAATTTCTATAGAAAATATATACTTTTAACAGTGTCCGCCCCGGCGCCCCCTACCCCGAAATTTTAGTCCACACCTCCGATAATTACAAGTGCCCCCCCCCCCCCAACGAATTGGAAGGGTTAATAAAAAAAAACACTTCAAAAATCAAAACGCGAATACGCCCATTCCAGCACCGACCCTTGAGGCCTACCGGAAAATTTTCCGGTGTCCCGGCGGCTCAGGGAGGCGAGAAGCATAATCATTTCCGAACATGTATTCGAGCTCAAAAGATGTTTAAAAATACGGTTGATGCATGGGGCTAGATACACGTTAAAAATATCGTTGTTTTCGAGCGGTTTCAAAATGAAAAGTACTGTTTCAAAAGAACAACCCCCCCCCCCCGCCCCAAAGCACGCCCAATGCCCACCCCACACCCCCATTAATAGAAGAATACTAAATAGAAAATGTCTGAAAGAACCCCTAATTGTAAAGGTGAAATGAATGATCTAGTTAAGATAAAAATCTTTGTGCCTGGTTCAGTGGCGGAACTAGAAAAAAAAGGCTCCCCCGCAAAAAAAATTTTTGGGCCCCCCTATATGTATATATATATATATATATATATATATATATATATATATATATATATATATATATATATATATATATATATATATATATATATATATATATATATATATATATATATATATATATATATATATATATATATATATACATACATACATACATATGTACATATGTATAAGTAGCCCGCTTCTCAAAATTTTGAAAAGTCTATTACTTGAGTATTTTAATCTATTTTATTGCAATGTATAACCACTCTGAGATAACGAACCAGACAACAATAAGTCCGAACTCATTTCGAGCGCGGCATTAATCGTGTTTTACAAATGTTGTTTTTTTTTTTTTTGATGTTTTTTTTTTTTTTCCTTTTCATGGAGGAGTTTTTTTTTGTTTTTTTTTGTTTAAACTTTTATTTACCATAAAACAAATTACAACATATTTTACACTGGTAGGTTGATAATACTTTACATAATGGCAAATTATATGTTGGAGTTCAATTGATATGTACAAATGTTTGTATTACGTGTACCGAAATTAGTAACAAAAATTGCCGGCTGGTCAAAATTATATAAACACGTAAGCTTGATTCTAAAATGGTTTCTCGCGTTATGTTTATTTTTATGATTTTTTGTATTTATATTATTAGTTTTGAATACATTAATTTTTATAGCTATAGGATTCTTTAATATACCTCATTTAAATACTAATTAAAAGAATAAATGGCTCTTTAATTGACATAGTACCAAACTATTTAAATGAGCTTTATGGGCACCCGTGTTTTGATGAAGGGCAGTAAGTCATGGAAGTATTGTGAACGTTTGCCTATCTTTTAAAGTAGAGCTCTTGTAGATTTTATATTTTTCTACCCAACAGTGCGTGTTAGTTGCTGTAGAACAATCACTGCAACAGTAGACCTGTTTGTTTTTTACAAAACTACTATCAATGTGCGCGAAAAAAGTTATTTATGAAAGGAAAATTCATTGTTTTTTTGGTCGGAATTGGGCCCCTAAACGTCGTGGGCCCCCCCGCATTGCGGGGTCTGGCGGCACTGTAGTTCCGCCCCTGCCCTTATGCTGCTATTTGATAGTTAATGTGGCCCTTATGCTGCTATTTGATAGTTAATGTGGCCCTTATGCTGCTATTTGATGGTTAATGTGACCCTTATGTTGCTATTTGATAGTTAATGTGGCCCTTATGCTGCTATTTGATAGTTAATGTGGCCCTTATGCTGCTATTTGATAGTTAATGTGGCCCTTATGCTGCTATTTGATAGTTAATGTGGCCCTTATGCTGCTATTTGATGGTTAATGTGGCCCTCGGGCTGCTATTTGATAGTTAATGTGGCCCTCTGGCTGATATTTGATAGTTAATGTGGCCCTTATGCTGCTATTTGATAGTTAATGTGGCCCTCGGGTTGCTATTTGATAGTTAATGTGGCCCTCGGGTTGCTATTTGATAGTTAATGTGGCCCTCGGGCTGATATTTGATAGTTAATGTGGCCCTCTGGCTGCTATTTGATAGTAAATGTGGCCCTTATGCTGCTATTTGATAGTTAATGTGGCCCTTATGCTGCTATTTGATGGTTAATGTGGCCCTCAGGCTGCTATTTGATAGTTAATGCGGCCCTCGGGCTGCTATTTGATAGTTAATGTGGCCCTCTGGCTGCTATTTGATAGTTAATGTGGCCCTCTGGCTGCTATTTGATAGTTAATGTCGCCCTTATGCTGCTATTTGATAGTTAATGTGGCCCTTATGCTGCTATTTGATAGTTAATGTGGCCCTTATGCTGCTTTTTGATAGTTAATGTGGCCCTCTGGCTGCTATTTGATAGTTAATGTGGCCCTCGGGTTGCTATTTGATAGTTAATGTGGCCCTTATGCTGCTATTTGATAGTTAATGTGGCCCTTACGCTGCTATTGGATGGATAATGTGGCCCTCTGGCTGCTATTTGATAGTTAATGTGGCCCTCGGGTTGCTATTTGATAGTTAATGTGGCCCTTGGGCTGCTATTTGATAGTTAATGTGGCCCTCGGGTTGCTATTTGATAGTTAATGTGGCCCTTATGCTGCTATTTGATAGTTAATGTGGCCCTTATGCTGCTATTTGATGGTTAATGTGACCCTTATGCTGCTATTTGATAGTTAATGTGGCCCTTATGCTGCTATTTGATAGTTAATGTGGCCCTTATGCTGCTATTTGATAGTTAATGTGGCCCTCTGGCTGCTATTTGATAGTTAATATGGCCCTCGGGTTGCTATTTGATAGTTAATGTGGCCCTTATGCTGCTATTTGATAGTTAATGTGGCCCTCAGGCTGCTATTTGATAGTTAATGTGGCCATTATGCCGCTATTTCATGGTTAATGTGGCCCTTATGCTGCTATTTGATAGTTAATGTGGCCCTTATGCTGCTATTTGATAGTTACTGTGGCCCTTATGCTGCTATTTGATAGTTAATGTGGCCCTTATGCTGCTATTTGATAGTTAATGTGGCCCTCTGGCTGCTATTTGATAGTTAATGTGGCCCTCGGGTTGCTATTTGATAGTTAATGTGGCCCTCGGGTTGCTATTTGATAGTTAATGTGGCCCTCGGGTTGCTATTTGATATTTAATGTGGCCCTTATGCTGCTATTTGATAGTTAATGTGGCCCTCTGGCTGCTATTTGATAGTTAATATGGCCCTCGGGTTGCTATTTGATAGTTAATGTGGCCCTTATGCTGCTATTTGATGGTTAATGTGACCCTTATGCTGCTATTTGATAGTTAATGTGGCCCTTATGCTGCTATTTGATAGTTAATGTGGCCCTTATGCAGTGGCGGAACTAGAAAAAAAAGGCTCCCCCGCAAAAAAAATTTTTGGGCCCCCCTATATGTATATATATATATATATATATATATATATATATATATATATATATATATATATATATATATATATATATATATATATATATATATATATATATATATATATATATATATATATATATATATATATATATATATATATATATAAATATATATATATATATACATACATACATACATATGTACATATGTATAAGTAGCCCGCTTCTCAAAATTTTGAAAAGTCTATTACTTGAGTATTTTAATCTATTTTATTGCAATGTATAACCACTCTGAGATAACGAACCAGACAACAATAAGTCCGAACTCATTTCGAGCGCGGCATTAATCGTGTTTTACAAATGTTGTTTTTTTTTTTTTTTGATGTTTTTTTTTTTTTTCCTTTTCATGGAGGAGTTTTTTTTTGTTTTTGTTTTTGTTTAAACTTTTATTTACCATAAAACAAATTACAACATATTTTACACTGGTAGGTTGATAATACTTTACATAATGGCAAATTATATGTTGGAGTTCAATTGATATGTACAAATGTTTGTATTACGTGTACCGAAATTAGTAACAAAAATTGCCGGCTGGTCAAAATTATATAAACACGTAAGCTTGATTCTAAAATGGTTTCTCGCGTTATGTTTATTTTTATGATTTTTTGTATTTATATTATTAGTTTTGAATACATTAATTTTTATAGCTATAGGATTCTTTAATATACCTCATTTAAATACTAATTAAAAGAATAAATGGCTCTTTAATTGACATAGTACCAAACTATTTAAATGAGCTTTATGGGCACCCGTGTTTTGATGAAGGGCAGTAAGTCATGGAAGTATTGTGAACGTTTGCCTATCTTTTAAAGTAGAGCTCTTGTAGATTTTATATTTTTCTACCCAACAGTGCGTGTTAGTTGCTGTAGAACAATCACTGCAACAGTAGACCTGTTTGTTTTTTACAAAACTACTATCAATGTGCACGAAAAAAGTTATTTATGAAAGGAAAATTCATTGTTTTTTTGGTCGGAATTGGGCCCCTAAACGTCGTGGGCCCCCCCGCATTGCGGGGTCTGGCGGCACTGTAGTTCCGCCCCTGGCCTGGTTCAACATAGGAAATAAAGAAAGAAGGGACGCAATTCAAAATAATGGTGTTACATTGCTGTTTTTTTTTAAAGCATAAATTGTGATGGTCATAGAATAGATCAATGGATTTGTGGTCTAGAATTTCGGTATTTGAAAGTTAATAAACGATGTTTTTGATAAATTAAATCAATTGATTGTTATTTTTCTTGCACAAGGATACAACTCATCTTCGTCAAAGTTTTTTTTTAAACACAACTAAATATCGCTAAATAAGCTTATGTTTATAGCTGAGAGCTTTAACGTCGCAATTTCTGAATGGCGATTTTCTTTTTTACTTAACGTACACTGTACTTTATATATATATTTTTCATTTTTTCCCTCCGAAATAGGCGCCACTTGCATAAAACGGTCTCTGCGTGAGAGGATGCTCATCTCTTAAAATAAATACATAAATGAAATACATATACATTTATTTATTTATTTATATGGGCCTAAATGTCAAATGAGGATGCTTATGAATATGACTAACCACAACTCTACTCAAAATAAATTCACATTGAATTGATAAAAATATTTTCAAGCAGTAGCCTAAGCGTTTAAAAATTATCTGCTCTACATTATATTTGTAAATTAAACAGCGAGCCACCTTTCTTGGATGAAAAAATGTAGAATAACATTCTTCTCGAATAAAGCCTTATATTAATATAAATCTGTGCTTCGTTTTGCGTTACCATACCAAGTTAGCTCCTCCCCCCCCCCCCCCCCCACAAATGGCTTTGCTTCGCCTTTTTTTGTAACTTTATGTTAATTTACAGCCCACAATTTATATTTTCTAATAATAAAGTAAACAAAAAAAATCTTGATCTTTTTATTACTGAATCTAGTTTACCAAACGTAACAGATCTAATTAAAAAAATTAACTACGCCTTTAGCTTATAGATCTAGATCTACCAAGAACTTGATGGGCATTATCATAAAATGACGTATCAAGATTTTGTGTACTCCGTAACTGCGGTGACAATCGCGCGTTTCCGCTTCCTACCTCCCTAACCCTGTGTTTCTCATTGGCTACCGACTTTTGCCGAATCGATATTTTCTTGTACTGTAGACCTTAATATTGAGCGGTGTTAATTGTTATGCTTTTACAACTCCTGATCTTTTATTTTTATATTCAAGTACTTAAAAGCGAGCATAAAATGAATTTAAATAATTATTTATCTTTGAACTAGTTAAATTACGAAATACACATTTTTTAATAATCATTGCTGCATTTAAAAACATCTTGATTTATGAACAACCACGGAGGTCAATTTCCCAGTAAATTAAATATTTTTAAAATAAAATAAGTGAGGGATCCACTGGTACTCAATTAATTACAGCTATTAAAATATTTTACTGAGAATATACAATTATACCAAGAATAATTTGGCGTTCTAAATAGGTGCACGCTAAAATAATCAAACTAGAACATTTTACTTTGACGTGTTTACTGTATCTATCCGCATCACAGCCGAGAACGGAACTGCTTATTCGGCCATTGGATACAGTTCTGAATGGCAAACAAAACTCAGAATTTTTTTGTTTTACTGTGTAGTTTTCTGTATGTGGAAACCTATGAACCTAAACATTTTTAAGTTGTAATAAATAGCTTCGTCTCTCGGCAATGTCCTAGCTAAGTATAGAAGGAGAGCTTTATTACTGTAGTGTTGAATCAACCAACTGTTCTGCTCATGAATGAAATGTGAAAAAACCCGTTGGCTTAGGACTTTCGAAGGCAGAGACATCAGGCTTCGCTTCGTGTTGGACCATATTGTACTATGAGTGGTCGACCTAGGACAACATCATTTGCTGAAGGTGGAAAATCGGGCCAAAGCGCACCTTTTGGAGGGATGAGAACCACCAGTAAGTGCTGACTTTTTATGTCAGCCATGCTGTGTTGAGACAATCAAAATGGCGGTCAATCTGTAGCGAATCTCATTAATAGTTCGCGGTGTTTTCGCGAATTTAACTAAAGAATCTAGTAATTTAAGCAACCATTCTACACATCTTCCTTTTCCTCATTCAATACCCTTCCTTCTTATCATTTTACACAATCTCTCATACTTTTTAAGCCCGCATCATAATTATTGTCTCAATCATTCAATTTGCAACACTCCCTGACTGGTTGCACTGGGTCAACAAAATTCCCAAATTTAACAAAAAGAATAGATTTTTAGAGTCTAGTAGGGCCTAATCTGGATATCTAAATATTTTAGGCATCTAGATCTAGTTTCAATATAGACTATAGAGATCTAGAATTCTAGATCTACTTGTATGTTAAACTTACATATAAACATGATTAGGCCAAATTAAAATCTGAAGCAATAGACCTACACTACACACACACAGCAATAGACCTACACTACACACTACTTCTACTACTACTACAACACAGTAGTGTACTAAAAAGCTTCAGGCTGAGCCAGTGTAGTGTAGTGTAAGTTCAAGCCAGTTGAAGGCTAAGGTAGATCTGGCAAAAACAGATTTCTAGATTTAGTTTAGTTAGGCCTAACATTTTTAAATTAAATTAACCAAATAGCGGTCACGTGGTTTAAAGTTTAAACAAAAAATTTGGTTGTCATTGAGAAGCCGTGTACTATAAAAAAAGTGCCTGCAATATTTGATTTATTTTTTCATAGACTGATAACCCTAATAGTTCTACAACCACCAATTAGGGCCCATATTTTTGTACTCTCCAGGCTGATATTTTAAAAGTTCTATTAATTTTGATAACACCCACTTTTAAATTTAGCCTTCATTCTCCAAAGCAAATTTTAAAATGCTTTTCAGGCATATTTAGCCCTACCACCTATAGCATGTTCTTATAACGTGAAAACCCGCCATTTTGCTCATGGTAAACATTTTTAAAAGTCATTCTAAGATAGTCTTTGGAATTAAGCCGAAAAATCGTCGGAAGTCATGCATCCGGTCTGTACGCCTTATTGTAGTTCGCAACCAGCCATGCCTCCGGGGTAGTGAGCAATACTACTTAATAGTTTTTCTCACTAAATCTAGAATTTACGCAATTATCAATTTAAACATGACCACTGAATAATAGACATCCATATTTAATCCATTAGGCACTAACTTTGGAGTTTTTAGTTCGTTTTAAACTAAATTACTTAATTAAATATTTATTGTCAATCACTGCCATGTCCAACACATCTCTCCATGACAACTCTTCTTAAGCTTGAAGCTAAAGAAAACCACAAATCAAGTTAGACTTTTTAAGTGGCCATGCACAAGAGTTCCTCACTAGTGATCACCAAATAGTGGTCACGTGGTTTTTTTTTTTAAAAAAAATTTGGTTGTCATTTTTTCGGCTGGTCTCATAAAAAAACGGTTGACGATATTTTCGATTTTTAAAAATGAGTTCCATACTAGTGATCACCAAATAGCAGCTGCGTGTTTCTAAAAGTATAGGCCTAATTGGTTGTCATTTTGGCGCCGGTTTTAATTTGATTTCTTTTTTTGCTCATTTTTGTACCTGCTGCATTTATATTTTAAAAGTTCTATTTGTTTTAATGAAACAAACTTTTAAATTAACTTAATTTTCCAAAGCAAATTTTAGAATGTTTTTCTGGCATTTATAGCCCTGCAACATTTAGTTTGTTTTAATAACGTGAAAAACTCACCATTTGCCCATGATAAACATTTTTAAAAGTAATTCTAAGAAGCTCACTAGAACTAAGAAGGAAAATTGTTGGAAGTCATGCATCTGGTGTGGCACCATATTGTTAGCAATGGCCCACTCCCCCCTGGTTTGTGATAAATATATAAATGCTAAGCATTAGTCCGTTCAATTAAATCTTAAATGTTTTCCAGTTGAGCCTTTTGCATTACAAAGAATATCCATTAGATTTTATAAGTATTCACTTATGGCTGAAGACAATCATCAAGAAAACCACAGCAACATACAAACCAATAAATGAACTCCTTTCATTTTATCCATTTCATAGTTAAGTATGCATTATTAAAAAGTTAATAGGAAGAACCAAATACTTCTTATTTTGCTCATTAAAAAATATTGGCCTATTGGATAAAGAGTAAAGATAGTAAAATTGGCTTAAAAATAGGCTATTTAAAATGTTGGCTATAATAAAAAAAATCTGTGTTAAATTTCTAAGTCGTATAACCATATATTACTTTTATTAGGCCTAATTAAAGCTAATTCTTAAAAACCGTTCTGGCATAGAACATGAGCATCCCCTTCTTTAGAGCCTCAAGTTAATATGTGACCAATCTAGACTTGCAACGTTTTCAATCATCCCAGTGAAAATCCTGTAATAATTTTTACTATGAAAGGAAAACAACTAATGCCACTGTTAGGGGTCAGAGGTCAATCTAGCTATTATTTTGTGGACTTTTAATGAGACTTTAAATTCTCCATTTTATGCCAAAAAAAATTGTGACTTGAAATTACTTAAGAAATAGGTGTTTAGGTTTTTAGTGAAAATTTCAAGGCAGTCTTGGCATATTTATACCATAGTAGACGTCAAAAGAATTTTTAAGATCCATCTCGATGCATGAGTGTTAACTATGAAAAATTCTAAAATTGAATGTAGCTAGGCCAATGTCGCTGCCGAGAAAATCGGACAAATCGGCTTTTCCCTACCCCCTGCATGTTTAACTCTGTTTTTTGCATGCTTTTATTGTGTTTATGTTAACATGTTATACATCATTCTGTTCGTAATTGAACAACCTTTTTAACTGTATAAGTTTGATTTCTTTATTATTTCAGACGTTGAAGAAATCGCCGATTTAATCGCATTTTTTACCCCCCGCGGCGACGTGCCGATTAGGGGGGAGGCTTTTTCACCTTTTTAAAAGAGGGGTGTTACTTAGAGTCTATAGACTCTTTGAGTTTTCGTACTACAACAGTGAAACTTGGTAGAAGAATAGATTAAATGTTCACGTATAACGCTCAAGGTTCTTGGGGAAAATATGTTAAATACTTTTGGAGATATCGAACGGCAAAGTTGAACTAAGTTATTTGGGCTATTAATGAACCGATTTTTAATTTGAACCTTGAGCTGTATTCCTGAAATCTCGACGTTTATTAATATGTATGATATGTACTATAATGCCCTAAGATAGAGACGTCTATAGACTTTGAAGTGGACCGAAAATCAAAACATGACGCGCCGACCGCTGTCCGGCTGAACCGCTCGGTTGTGCTTCGAATCGCTGTGTTTTAAATATGACGCGCTACAATTTTTTTATAGACGTATCGAGTTTACGTACTACAACAATCAAATTTGGCAGACGAACAGATTAAATGTAGACGTACAACGCTCAAGGTTCGTTGTCAAAATAAGTTAAATACTTCGGGAGATATCGGACCGCAAAGTTGAACAAAGTTTCCCGGTCTATTATTTGACCTATTTTACATTTGAACCTTGAGCTGTATTCCTGAAATCCCGCCGATTATTTTAATGTATGACATGTATTATAACACCTCATAGTAAAGCCGTCCATACATTTTAAAACTGTACGAAAATAAAAATTAACCCGTCGGCCGCCGTCCGACTGAATCGTGATCTACACATCGTGTAGCACAGCCGAGTGTGTGGTCACGTGACGCTAGGCGGTTGATCCGATTGGATGAGACTATAAACAATTTCTAAAGATAGATACGTGTGTTCCCGTATTTGACTCGTCGGGTATTGCTATTTTATATTTAAGTAGACAGGCATGTTTCATAACTTTGTTTTAAACCACTGAAACGGCAAAAAAAAAAAAGTCGTAATAGTATTTACTAATCGTCAAAATTAATCTTCTTTAGAAATTAATCCGGATAGCTGCGACCCGACCAAACAATGCTGACGTGATTCGCGTAACGTTTCATTATTGTGTACATTACTTTTTCGTAAAAATGGCTTTAAAAAATAAATTAACTTTTACCCCGGGCTCTTTTTTTTTCGGTTGACTAAAAATTTTTAAAACCCTTAACAACAAGGAGGTTACTAGCTTGCCAAATCGACCAAAATGGGATGGGGTGGGTATGGGGAGTCACTGACCATCCTACACGGTATGTAACTATTGTAACACCGTATGTAACATCCATAGCCTCACCCCGCCCCCACTACTCCGTGACGCGACAAGCCGAGGTTCGGCGCCTTTGATGTTGTATAACACCCATACGGTACCCGAGCGGCTCGCGGTGGTTTCATACCCCACCTCCCTCCCCCTTCACTTTGTGGAGTTGATGTTACTAACCCTCGGGCATAGATCAAGAAATCTTGCCAGACTTTTGTCTCTGAAATTATGTAATATTCGTCTGACACGTTCATCGGGTTGGCCGACTAGCCTATCTTGCCTCGTGTTTACGTAATACGGCAATAAAATTCGTAGGTCAGAAAACCTGGTTAACCACGTCTGATTGAACTAAATCTAGGCAAATGCTGATGGTGATAAACGCCTCCGTGTTTAGCCAGACACGGGAAACTTTAAAAAATGCCTAGCATCTGCTACACACAGTCAAGCACTCAAACACGTGCTTTTTCCCCCAATGTAATAGGCCTATGGTAGGCCTACAAAATACACAAGCTTACTACTAGCAAAAACATGGAGCATATATAAATCTATGTTGTAGATCTATAACTTACACGACCTTGTACAAGCTAAAAAAACAATTTTCCTCCAATGTTTATGTTATTAAAATTGTAAAAATGAGCAATTTTTTTGTGTTTAAAAATATTACAAAATTATCATAAAGCACACTGATTCTGATAAGACACATTTGTAACTAGACTAATTCTATAGAAGAAAGTTGTATCAATGAATGGTATGACATTTAAAGTAACAAGAAATATAAATATAATGAAATGCCTATATTTTTGGAATAGAGTAGGCCTGTAGGATTGCACATAGATTACATAACATATTTTAAGAAGTTACATCATCACAAATATACTATTGTTATAGCATCCTTCTCTTTGTATTAAAACTGTATTAGTTATCTTTTCTTTAAGTAGGCTATTCACTTAAGTTAACTGACAATGAGCAAAAGAGATTTTAAAATAAATACATGGTAAATTATGAGCAAAAGGTGCGAATTACATAACCTGACCTTTATAGTTTTGTAATAATGTTCCACCATTTTAAATATCACCATTAGCTTCAGCATATACAAATGTCATATTATGGTTTAAAACAGTGTTTAATTTAAAGAATGACTTCTTATCACACGGATTATCAGATGTTGTAAAAAAAATTGAAGGGGGGTATTACATAATCCATGAAATAAGTCTGTTATGTAATCAAAAGACACTTTTTAAAATAGCATCATTGGATTCGGCATACAAAAATCTACAAAATATCATAAAATGATATCAATTGATGAAGTCTGCTTGCTTTAATACCACTTTTAGTGAAAAACTCTTTAAAATTTGGTCCATACCCTCCCAGTATTTTTCCTCTTTCAGGGTCTACCCCGGTTGTCTGAAAAAACTGCTGTTTTTTAATGACTAAAAAATTCATAACTTTTTTGTTTATGGTCAGATTTTGAAAATTCAAACTGATCTGTAATCAGATTGACAGCCCCTATCCAAATATGTAACTATTATATTGTTTTACTGAAATTAAATTTTTGCATTGGCCTAGCTATTGAATGTGTTAGTTAAGCTTAGGTGAAAATAAGTTTGAAAATTTAACAGAAAAGGTGCTGGTTGATTAATTTTTTTAAGACTTTGTAAAGTGCTAAATTAAATAGGCGAAATAATGCAGGAATAAATAAAACAGTAATGCTTTCATACATTAATAAAATCTATAACCTGTACCAAACACCCATTTATAGTAATTAAAATGTGGAAACCACAATGCATTTTATTGAAATAACAACACACTGTATTCTATTATACTTACATCTGGCTATAATAATTTTAGGACCTTATCAACCCATTAGGTCAATTCAAAACAAATTGTTTTTTTTATTAGAGATTCATTCATAATTAGTATTGCCAATTATAATGCAAAGCAAAGCTCTCAGTTTTTGTGTTTAGTTTAGCCTAGTTTAGGATTGAGAATTTTTAAGGGAGGATTTTAAATCTAATGGGTGTAGATTATCCAAAATTACCTGTCTTTTATTTAGAAAATGATTGATGTGGACCCTCTTAATTTTACTTCCCCTTTTTTATATACCTTATCATTTCTGTTGTTAATGCGAAAATACTAGAACGCACTTGTTGACTTGTTTACTAATAGTGTTTATTAGCAGGTCAAATCAGCCGTCCTAGTAAATTGATACTCCTTAAATTTTTCCTGGAGTTATGCTTTTTTAAATGGAATCGTGTATAATAACCAAAAGTGTAAGTATAACTTTTGTATTAGGAAATATAAATTTTAATTTGAGGTTTGTGGATTATTATTCCTATTTTAGCCTTCTTATATACATCAAATCCACATGTTAATCTCTACCATTGCTAGATGTGGATTGCTCTAAATTATTGTTTTCTTTTGTGTAAAACACATTTTAAGTCAAGAAATTGAATAAGACATTTGTATTGCAGGTTGATAGCAAAGTTTCTTCAGTGTTGGCTGTTTGAATAATGCTTTAAAAAGGTCAATGAATTAAGTTCATTTGCTCATTGTGGTGTATCCAGAGTGAACATAAGCTGATGAAAACCTCACTCTTTTGAGTTCATCTACACTACAGCTACTTCATACTGGATTGATAGTGTGTGCTAAATTATAATGAATATGTAGCCACTTGTGGAGAAAATATGATTTTTTGTTTGTTTATAAAGTAAAGCTAACAAGAATTTGATTTGACAAAAATTTCTTGGCTTCTCTTGGCACTAAAGTCTGCTTATGCTGCAGCTAGTCATGCTTGTCATCTTATAATGGATACGAAGCCGGCAAACCTCCCAGAACTGTGTAGACTTTTGGGATCATATACAAATGAGGAATTAAGTGAAAGTACCATCAAGGTGATTGGTCCTTTTGAGAACTTGCTAAGTATGGACATGTGGCACGATCAAATAGCATATCAAAGACAATCATGCAGGGCACTGTGCAATGGGTTAGAAGTTGAGGCAAATATGTAAACGGCTGGAGGATATAAAAGAAATTAACTGGGCTATCTGATGCAGAATTATCATAAGCATCAAAACACCAGGAAGGATGGCAAAACTCTTATGAAAAAGTGGTGCAACAACAACCCTCCTGGATTATAGGAAAGATAGAATTACTTTTTTAAACAATTTTACAATAAACATTTACATATTAACATTTTTTTTACTGTTCTTATTTTATCCCAAAACTTCCTTCATACACATAAATTCAAGTTGTATCCCTGCTATGATTAGGCTATAACATTTTTTGAAAGCAAAATTACTATTTTTGAAATCCATCTTAGCATGTTAAAAAAAATATTTCAAGCTGTAAGCATGCTCCTGGCACTAAACCGTTCTTTTTTGAGACCACTTAAATACATAGGTGAGAGTGGCTGCAAGAAAGGTCACGGCAGATTTTACAATACACACATTATTTTTTAAAACAAATCTCAATGGTACCATAAACTTTTCTTTATATCAAAACTATTTTCAAGTGTTTTTTTTTTTTTTTTTTTTTTTTGCAAAATACACAATTCTCAATTCTAAACTGATAGGAGAGTTTCAATCAATTACTTGAGCAATATTAACAAAACCCTGTCCCCAAAATTTAAGTCTAGGTGAACACTCATTATTTCTTTCTTTGGTTGTTGACCTCTTTTGTGGTCAACTTTTTTTTTTTAAATTCTTTAAAATTCTGGAGGAAGAAAATTTAGGATTGCTTTTATTTTTAGGCCTGAATTATTCAGTTAAATCATAAATCTTGATGTCCTTTAAGCTGCTTACTATACTTCCTAAGGGTCACCTTACTAGATTAGGGAATTAACTTACTTTTATTAAAATTATAACTCAAGCAATACACCTGTCCTTTACACACCTTATCAATCACTGGGGAGAAAGTGCAGCTTTGGTAACAAATCCTGATATAAAATGTCAATTAATTATCTTAATTCAGAATATCACCGCTTGGATTGTCTCAAATGAGGTTCTCATTTTTCAAATTTTTTTGTATCATTTTGTGTACCACATTTTAATTTATGCTTTCTTTGTTTGGCTGTTAGTTTTTGCTTTTTATTTGTAAAAAATTTCCCTTATTAATGTTTTAAACTTAATTAAAATGGAGGCAATTGGCCAAATCTATTTTTAATAACATACGTGTGTTGTGTATTGTTTTAGATCAGCTTTTTAAAATATTTATAACTCGTAAATACCATTTGACCCTGCTAATAACCAAATTTATGTATATAGATAGCATTACACATAGTAGTATTGTTGTCATTTATGTGTACCCCTTCCCTAAATAGCCCTAAATTGCTTCTTTTTTATTTAGATGATAACAATTTATATAATTTAACACACATTTAAAATTGCTGTGACAAGTAGCCAAGCCACCATAATAGATTTTATTTACTATCTGACCAAAGAAATCTATCTTGATTTAGTTGCCATGACTTTAAATAGTACACTAATAAGAAGAAATTCTGTAAAATTAATCTTGCTTTCTGGCCTAATTGAGTGACAACTTATTAATTATATCCTAGAATTATTATTACTTGAGTAAAAACTTTAACATTGTATAAAATGTATTCCGCTGTAAGATCTACAGTGCTAACACTAACAAACGTATATATTTTTTACCGCAATATTATTTACCGTATAAAGTGCTCTCTTTTAATACCCTAATGCTAAAGTAAAGTCTTATAATTAGCATGGAGGCGTAGCTTAGTTTTTCATTACCACGTTTGTTTCTTGTACTTTTCATATTGTTTTTTCTTGACATCTTTTTTTGGATAATACATATATACTCAACCTTTTATTATCATTTTAAATTTAGTATCTATATCTTGATGAGCTAAATTGAATTATTAATGATATAATTTAAAATTAGTTCAAATGTGATAAGCTAAATATTTAATTTTTTTGAAAGCTTTTTAATAAGTTATGAGAGGAATACAGTATTAAATGTTAAGAAAAAAAAGTATCCTTTCAGAGAGAAATAAAGTTACATAAGGAGTGCAACTGATAGGCCAAACACTAAAATGGTTTTATATTTTAATAGGCAAAGATGGCGGTAAGGTCACTACAGTTCTGGCCACAGCAGGCCAAGGGTCTGATAGGCCCATGGAGGTCAGCTACACAGATGCCAAAGTTATTGGAAATGGTTCTTTTGGTGTGGTATATCAAGCAAAGTTGACTGAAACTGGTGAACTGGTAGCCATTAAGAAAGTTCTCCAAGACAAACGGTTTAAGGTATGAACAAATTCTTGAGAGTGCATTTGCCATGATTATGATAACACAACAAATGGATCAGGAAAAAATTAAAAGAAAGTTTATACACTATCAGTTACTGATTGATCTCTTTTTATTCCTCTTTCAGAATCGTGAGCTTCAAATTATGCGTAAATTGGAGCATCAAAATATAGTCAAGCTTAAGTATTTCTTTTATTCCTCTGGTGAAAAGGTAAATAATATTTAATATTAAGTTAATAGCTAATCATTTTTAAAATAATTTTGAGTAACACACTATTATTATGGTGGTTGCTATTAAAGTGTAAGCAGTTATAAAATGTTATTTGTTAATTAATTGAACTAATATAATTTGTATGAGGCATGGTGAAACGTAGTTAATAGTTAGCTATTACATTTTTTGCACTTGCAGTGTTAGTGATGTGTTTAGGCATCACTAACATTGAAAGAAATATGATTAGAAAGGATTAGACATAACTCTTGATATAAAAGCCAGCCATTTATTTGCAGAAAGATGAAGTATTTTTAAACTTAGTGTTAGAGTTTGTACCAGAGACTGTCTATCGTGTAGCGCGACATTACAGTAAATCCAAACAGACCATACCTATATTATATATAAAGGTAAGTTTTCTTCATCCCAGATACTTTACCAGCATTGATTACTGATTTGCTTGTGATTTTGATAATTAACTAATCTGTAATAATTGTAAAAGTATCAGTTTTTAATTCTTAGTTACCTAGTTTTATGTAGTTGGTTATATTAAAAAATAAGTTAACTTCTCCTATAAAGTTATTTTAAAATAAAAGTAAGTCTCTTAGTGAACTAAAACTTGATTTTAGGGATTAGAATTTAATAACAGTCGCAATGAAATAATTCTTATAGAACAAAACCATAAAGATATTTTAAAATTATACAAAGAAACATCTAGAGAAACTTCAATAAAAAGTATTTATTTGAATGGTTGTCTGCACAAAATACAATTGTGAATGTAAGCTGTGGTGCTGGGAGGTTGCTGGTAGAATTAAAACAGATTTGTTTCTATCCGGGGTATTGTTACCTTGTGCCTGACAAATTTTCCAGTGTAAATACACTTATAACAGACACTTGTAGCTTTAGCTACTTTTTTTTTGTTACTTGTGAATGAAGATGTTTTGTTCTCAAAGTGTACAAATAAGAATGTCTCATTATTTGATTGCCTATTTTCAGCTGTACATGTACCAACTGTTTCGGAGTCTAGCCTACATCCACTCCCAGGGTGTGTGTCATCGAGACATCAAGCCTCAAAATTTGCTGCTAGACCCTGAAACAGGGGTGCTCAAACTCTGTGATTTTGGAAGGTTAGTACTGTTGGCTATCTTTAAAAACTTGACACCAGGAAGGAGACCATACAATAGTAAAGGCATCTGAGTCAATCTACAAGGATTGATGAAATGTTTATATATATCATGGGGATGAAAGGTATTTTAGTTTTTTTTTTTTTTAATATTAATTTTATGTGAAAAAATATTGCAGGCTGGTGTTTACAATTTAGATAGATTGTTACTGGTTACACACAACTATATACATTGGGTGTCCATGTACAATGCTGGCTACACTTCAATATAGTTATTTGTGTTCATTGAATCTAGTCTGATAGTAAGTTATACATTATGTTACATACATATACTGAATTGAAAAGTGTTGCCAAGCTCATTGAAACTTGAACTCTACTTTTATCTGCCTCATTTGTCTTGGGTATGATTGAAAAAATATACTGAATAAATATACTGTAAATCTAGGTTAAAAATAAAGAACACAAGTTTTATACTTAGTCCAGTTTGACAGCTTAAATCTAAATGCAGGCCTTTTTTCTTCAAAATATTTTTAAGTTATTGTTGCTATAAGCTAAATCAAATGCAAACATTTTTTTACATCTTATATCAGTTCTAAATACTAAAAGAATAAACAGTGATAGTGTAATAAGTCATATTGAAACAGGAAAATGTTTTAAAAGTCAATACTTCAAACTTGTAACATTTTTTAAAAATATTGATTTTATACAAGTTTGCATTTTATTACTTATTGAAAATAAGTTTTATTTGCTTATGATATGCGATAATAAATGTGCCACCCTTCTAATATCGATACATGATTAGCTTAACAATAGCCTACAGATTGTTCTAATTTTTTTCTCTTTAGTTTAGCCATTTGGCTATATATATATATATATATATATATATATATATATATATATATATATATATATATATATATATATATATATATATATTAATCTTTTAATCAGAATTGTTTTTGTATCAATGCAAGTTTTATGTTGTCTTGTATATAATTTATGCTTTAATGTGTCAATTTTTTCTTAAAACTTCCACAGTGCAAAAGTATTAATAAGGGGGGAACCAAATGTGTCGTACATATGTTCACGTTACTACCGTGCTCCTGAGTTGATATTTGGCGCCACAGACTATACATGTCAAATTGGTTAGTATTTCTACATTTACTTTACTCTGAAAACATGTAGCTGTGGGAATTCCACTTTACTTAAATAAGTGATCATCTTGTTTGGTTAAAAAAATTACTTTTAATCTAATGTTAAACTTTGTAAATAAAAATCTAATTAGTAATTTATGTGTTTATTAATGAGTGACATACATGTATATCTGTTGGTTACAGATGTATGGTCAGCAGGATGTGTACTAGCTGAGTTATTGCTAGGCCAGCCCATCTTCCCAGGAGATAGTGGTGTGGACCAACTTGTAGAGATTATCAAAGTTCTCGGAACTCCAACCAGAGAACAGATCCGAGAGATGAACCCTAATTATTCTGAGTTCAAGTTCCCACAGATCAAAGCTCATCCTTGGTCGAAGGTATTTTTAAACTTGTTAAAAATTCTTTGCTGAACAGTTTTTTGTTTCAATTATATCCTACAAAAATGACTTCAATATTTAAAACCTTATTTCGCAAAGTTTTTTTTTACCTTAACTTACAACTACTTAATGCTTGTTGTTTTCATCAGGTGTTCCGTCCTCGAACACCATCTGAAGCCATTGTACTTGTTAGCCGTCTGTTGGAGTATACACCTTCTGGACGCATTACTCCATTGGAGGCTTGTTCCCATAATTTTTTTGATGAGTTGCGTGATCCATCAACACGCTTACCTAATGGACGAGAGCTACCTCTGCTGTTCAATTTTACTTCTACTGGTTAGTTCAGATACCATTATTACATCTTAGCATAAGTGAGCCTGGAAGTTCTGATGTCCCTTTTATTGCAATTTCAATAGATCATTTGGAGGTTAACTCTTTAAGACCAGAATTATTTTCACATTCCATCAGAATTATTTTTCCCTCAGCAAATGAAATTTTTTTTACCTTTTTTTTAAAACCAACACCTTGATTGAAATACATCATAATTAAGTGATTTAATGTAGATAACCTCAACAGAGAATTCTTCTGCTAAACAAAAAAAAATAGCGTCTCATTCTGTTAATGTATTGAAGATAGATTTCTTAATTTTAAACAATGAAACAAATGAGTCGCTTTTTACGGAAAAATATATTCATTTGGGAAAATAATAACACTTTTAAAATTATTTTTATTCCAATTCCATTTTTCTATTAATGTTACAATATACAGTAATATAAAGGTATTAAGTGGTCCTCTACTAATGTTAGAACAAAACTTTTTCCTCAATCTCGGTTAAGTGAAATAACAATGCATTTTTTAAATTTTAAATACGTATAAAATTTTTTTACAAATGTTTAATACTTTTAAAATGCTATGATTTAATTCAGCTTCATTGTTGGAAGTACTTTCTATTCTGATATTTGTACCTTATTTAAATTATAACCAAACATGATTCATAATCATAAAAATGAGCATTAATATTGCATAATACTTTGTTCCCTACAAGTAAGCTAATAATATAACTAGTAAATTGTAGGGAGAAATACTAAACACCAATAAAATAAATTAAAACACTGCCAAAACACAGGAAAGCAGCTAGAAATAGTGAAGGTCCATTTTAATGCTTTCCTTAGAGTTTTTGTATGGAAATATAGTCCTATTTAACTCTATTTTGTCAAGCTTCATCTAAATCTACTAACACACTTGACTATTTTATTGTTATTTGGCTTTGAAAATAGTTAAACCTGATCAAGTTGTGACTTCTTGACATTTGATCTGTTTCCATCTTGTTAGAGTTTTGTTATTTCCCTCCACAGAACTAGCCATAGCCCCAGGTCTCAATGCCACTCTAATCCCACCACATGCCAGAAACTCTACTGCAGAAGCACCATCTGCTTCTGGAGCCACTCAGGCTAATAACTCGGCAGGAACTCCAAACAACAACAATGCTCTGGACAGTAATAATGGCGCTCCAGGTGTCTCCACAAGTGGGGACACAGCATGAGGACTTAACATGGTCTTTTTATCATGATTCACTTTTTTCTTTGACAAACAGTAGTAATAATTTTCAAAAAGTGCAAGTCTCTCCTTCAAGTGGATACTGGACTGAAAAATGAAGATGAGACATAATTTGATGGTGGAGAAGTGTATACATTAAAGATTGCTTGTCTTGTTAATCATGGTGGCCTCCACCATTGTCAGACGTGTTGCATGAATGTGATAAATGAGATGTTTTTATTTTATGCTGCAACAACTCAGGTTGGCTATATCTGGGGGTGACCTAAACTAGCTTGGTCATTAGTTTATTGTATCTTAAGAAAAAGTCATGTGACTAAATACCATGGAACCAAAGGGAGCTGTAGCACTAGGGAACTTTCTGTGGCTGTCATAGTATGAACTCTCTAGGACTTGTTTGATGAGACCTTTCTGTGGCTGTCATAGTATGAACTCTCTAGGACTAGTTTGATGGGACCTTTCTGTGGCTGTCATAGTATGAACTCTCTAGGACTAGTTTGATGGGACTTTGGGCCACAGCATCACGCAGTCTACAAATCTTTTTCTTCTTGTCATGCCTGGCATCTGATTGACATTTCCTTGACACGTTTCTTTGTTGTGGCTGATGCTGTGACCAAGCTATTGAGAATGGAGCTGAATGGTGTGTTGCTGCTGTCTGTGGCCTCAAGTCATCCGTGTGTTGGTCAATATTTCAACTGTTCTCCATGTTTTTTTTTTCAATTGAAAATAACAATGCATCGACCAATTCTCTATTCTACTTGATAGTGTGCATGAAGCCCATGTATGATTCTTCCTATAAAATTGCTGATTATTATTGTCTAGTACAGTTCACATAACTTTTAAAATATTTTTTAAAAATTATTCTTTAAAAAATTATATAGCATGCATATGCCAAAAAGTCATTTCTGTTACTCATTACCCTAGGTATGTTTAAAACTGAAATTTTTAAAAAAATTTCTAAATCCTAGCAACCAAGTCATGTATTGTAGATGAGCTGTGTACAACCTCCAACAGGCTTGACAGCTTGAAACAGCTCTAGCAAGATTAGAGTACGGTTGTAGACAGATAGCTTAGAAGTAAGGGGAGAACTGATCAATGTTTCATTTGTTTTTAGAGGCATTGAATGCAGTGTGTGCCATAAATAAGTTATCTGCTCCATCATTACCATTGGGGTACATCCCACAAGACAATGTGAAGCATAATATTTGTTTAACTAGAGATGAACTGTTAGGCCCAGGTACTTAGTGTCTCTTCATGCTTAGTGGTTGGCAGTGGTCACAGTGTGATGTCTAGTGGCTGGTTGGTCACTGTTGTCTAGTGGTTAGTTAGCTCACTAGGTCCAGTTGTGGGGATAAGTCTCTGATATTTATTGTCTAGTTTGGTCCTATTTGGGGGTGCTCCAATTCTGACAGAAGGAACAGTTTTCTTCAAGTCAACAAATGAAAATGGTGTTTGTGGAATTCCTAAAGCATTGTACTATATAAATTATTCTAGGTAAGAGAGACAACCCATTACATTTTATCACTCTTGGGTTGCTAAAGATGGTGTTCCCTGTATATTGTATTGATTTTCCATATTTTCATTCTTAAAAAAAAAGTTTAAGAAAGTGAGTGAGTTTTCTTCAGCTTATTGTGTTTTATTGTCTCCAACATATTTTAGAAATTGTATTGTGAGGTTGAGTATTTCCCGCAGTTGATTGTTGAAATGACTTCAACTAGGGGAAGTGATTGTTTGCTTGCTGAAGGCATTATCATCCAGTGTGTGTGTGTGTGAGGATGTGTGTAGCTGTGGTGCTCTAGTCCCAGCTGTTGATCAGCACAATGTCTTGCTTCCATGAACTAGTGATCTAAGCAGGTGCTGGTGCAATTGTTTTGTCTGAACTTGTATATTTGTAGATACTTGTGTGTGGGAAGGTTTTCAAAGCCATTTGGTGTGCAGTTCTAGCAGTTAAAAATGAGATGAAGCCATTCACTTTAGGCCACAATTTATTTCTTTACAAAAAATAGCTGACATTCAGTAGAAACCAAGTTTTGAGTAATTGTGTTTTAAGTTATTGCAGTCTTTTGATGTCAAGCTAATTATTGAAATGAAGTGTACATAAATGTTTGAGTGATGAGTAATGAACATGCTAGCTGTACCATCTTGTAGAAGTGCTGATAGCCACTCAAGTGTTTGTATAAGACATACACTACAGTAGGGTATTTGTTGTGGTGCACTAAGCCAACACTGGCTGGTGCAGTATCCCATGTGGCTCAGCTCTGAATTAGGCTGGCTGAGTTTTGTCTTGCTAGGGCAGATGGCTGTGTTTGTATAGAGTGCTGAACAGTTACATGGATGGCTTGCTTTATCTGTTGCTGAGAGTGGCCTGTATGTCAGTCACTGTAGTATAGTTATCTCATTATTTATCATTAACACTTGAATGTTTCTATATGTGTGTTGTCCACATTACTCCCCTATATGGAATCTTTTTTTTTTCCCCTGATCATTTCAATTAAAAAAAGTTATTCAGGAGGTGACAAACACTCCACCAGATGGAAACTGTCTAGACAGCCTTGCTGTTGTCTGTATGATGCCATTACCTGTCTGACATCCTATTCTTTAATACTGAGGCAGGGCTAAACACAAAGCTTGACTATCTGAATAAAGACATTTTGTGAATGGTTTGATTAGACCAGTGTTAGAATGCTTGCTTGATGGATTGTACAGTGTGAGGGAGTGAAGAAACATTAGATGGTGGTTAACTCTTACTGTCTCACTGAGTGTCACTGTTACAGAAGAGTTTTATTTATTATCAGGTTTATGAAATTACTAATTATTATTGAATGAAAATGCATATTTTAGACAAATTATTCATTGTTGGAAGCAAACAAGTAGTTTGAGCACTTAGATGATGATTTTAAGAAATGATTTTAAACATTGTTTTTAAATAGTCTGTGTTAAAAAAAAAAATATCCTTTTGTTTTTACTATTATTTTCTTGGTTGTTTCTTGAGGTTGAGTGGGTGTGTGTAGCAATGTGTGCCCTGTAATCCATTGGTTGTTTCCCCTTGTCTCTCTCTCTGTTGTAATCATGTTGTTCCATAATACCATGTAGTCTGTGTGCCGTGGTACAGCTGACTGTGGGAGAAAATGAGTTTTAAGGATGTGTAAATAAAGTGAAAACGATTTTGATTGATTTCTCTTTTTTATGGCCTTGATGTGGACTAGTCCATTGTAATGTATTTTGAGAATGCATTTTTTATATTGTGCTTATATTTGAGGGGATTCCCTATTTTATTTTTATATGCACTGGTGTCATGCACACACATATATACACATTAGGTAGTACATACATATACTTGTATATAAACAAACTTACACATGCATATGTATATGTATGTATGTTTAATTATATGTATATATATTTAAACATACATGGATATATATTTAAACATACATGGATATATATTTAAACATACATTGATATTTCAAATATGCAAACATAACCCAGGAGTGAATATAATTCTCCGCCTGATCGGAGTGCCCATCAGACCGTTAAGACATCCGGATCATCGCTCTACTGACCCATATCTGTACTGCATGAATAATTGTGTATACCGGTACCCACACAGGACAAGAGCTACCTTGAGATTTTTCTATAATACAAATCGTGCTTTCGTTAAATTGCTATACCTGCAAATAGTTGTCCATGACCTTGACTAGACCACCTGACGTTCAGTGACGTCAGGCTTACAAAACAAAACACTGCATCAATTAAAAGTTAGTCAACTGTAAAATGTAGCTAGTACATCCGAGCAACATAAGAATGGAGGGGGGGGGGGGGGTTGCCTGTTAACATCTCATTATTGTCATTGCTGGCGAAGTGGAAAGTTAAGGGTTAACTGCAGGGTTGATACGGTGTTTTCTGAACGAGTTGGACAATCCAACCGCGGCGGAGGGGCTTGTGCATTACATCGATGGTGAGTACTTAGTTTGCCATCGTGAATAGGGTATCATCTTGACAACTTGAGATACAGTGTAACAATACCTAACAATAGAAGTGGGAATCACAGAAGTGAATGTAAGTAAGCAACTGCTGGAAACAGAACATGGTTTAATGAAATATCTTTGTGGATAAGTAGGTCTGCCATTTTAAACATTTACTTACACATGCTCTCATAATTTACCACATGGGTGCAATAAGACAGAAAAAATAAAGAATTTTGCCATTGTCTTTAGTTTAAAACCCCACAGTTGGGCAGCGATCAAAACTGCCCCACTCACACAATTTAAGTTGCTTTTTACCGATCACATAAAGACATAACAGTATTCCATTTGCTGTTACGCAAAGGATAAAGACAGTAGTACAATCACCATTTTTCCTCACCTCGACTGAGTTCAGTAAAACAGATCAAATTCAAAGTAGGTTTTTTTTTCTTTCTGTTATTTCCTTCTGTTAGCGCCCATCGCCAAACGTATGGGAGAGATATGTATTAGTGTAAATGTTACTAGCGTTTTGAGTCATGATACCAAAGGTGGCGATATGGCATGTTAAGATAGATTCGTGTGATATCTATTACTAAAATTACACTGGATGTGCAACACTTGATCACTTGTGCAATATGCAGGATTAGCCTATACAGCGAAATACCAGATTATCTTAGGTCTATAGGAGCTTGTCACAACAGCAAACATTCAAGCATGCAGTTTTTTCCAGACTTTTTTCTCCGGGGTGGGGGGGGGGGGGGGCACTGTTAAAAGTATAAATTTTCTATATAAATGATATAAATTTCATTTCGATCGGGGGGGGGGGGGGTGTAAGCCCCCCCCCCCCCCCCGAAGAGATGCCTGGAAGAAAATCTGCAAGCATGACGGTTATATTTTTGCTACACGGCTCCATGCGACACATACAGACCAAAAAATTACCACTTACCCCATCTCTGTAAGCTACGTCACGCGGGGGAGATGAGATGAAACCAGGCGGAGAGATGGTCGGGATAAGTAGAAAATAAAGTTACCTAATGTTCACAAACGATTTCTTTACATCGAGTGGTAGGACAGTACACGTATTAGTGAATGTTGTTATTTTTTACAACCTGTTAACAATCTATGGATGAATATAGTTTGTTAAATCTTGTGGTTAAACATAGTTTGGTTAAATCTTGCGATGGTTATTATAGTTTGGTTAAATCTTGTGATGGTAAATCTAACATTGGTTAAATCTAAAGCTGTGTAGGGTTAATGCACGTAGGTACATTTGTTGGATCTTATTTTCTTAACTTTGAATTAAGATAATCAATTTTTTAATTGATATGCTTATAAGCACAGTCAACAAAGTAAGTGGCCTACTACAAGCTCCATACACTACATACTACATGCATTTGTATCATTAAATAAAACTAAAGTTTACTATATTACACTATATGTAG